TGTAGTCTTGGCCGGGCGCGGCGCGGCGCGGCGGCGGCGGCTTGTGCGCACGCGGCCAGGGGCGCCTCCTTGCGAGCGCCGCGGCACGTGGGCCCGGGCGCGTGTCGGCCGAGCGCTTCGCGGAGCTCCGTCGAGCGAGGCCGCGGCGGCGTGGGGCAGTCGGCGGCGCCGGCGGAGGACGGGGCCGCTGCGTCGCGAAGGCCCGGAGCGCGGGAGAAGGCCGCGGTGGCTCGTCACAGCGAGCCCGGGCGGAAAGCAGGAGGGCGCCCTCGGCCCCAGCCAAGCGGCGCAGGGCAGCGCGAGGAGGCGTTCAGGCTGGCGGCGGGGCGCGCGGAGGGCCCGCCGCTGAGCCCCGGCCCCGCTGCGGGCAGCCCGGGGAAGAGCCCTTCGCGGGAAGCCTGGGGTCGCTGTCCCCGGCCGAGGTAGGAGCAAGGGCGTCGTGGGCCGCAGGCAGCGCCCCGGGCTGGTTTCGAGCGCCCGGGCGGCGTCCCGCCAGCGCCGCGGAGCCCCCTGCGTCCCTCGAGCCGGGGGAGAGGGGCGGGGAGGCCGGGCGGCGTGTGTCGCGGCGCGCTGCTCGGAGGCCGCCCGGCGCCCGCCCGCCTCCCTGCTCGGACCGCGGTTGCCGCGAGGCGTCGAGGAGGCCTCCGGCGCCGCTCGGCCTTGCTTTGCACGGTGGCGGGCCGGCCGTCCACACGGAGGCTGGGAGGGGACGGCGAAGCCGCAGTTCCGCGCAGCCAGGGCAGCTGCTCCCGGGCTGGGGCGGGTCGCCCTGTTGCGAGCTCGCTGCAGGGCCGCAGGGGCGAGGCTTGCCCTGAAAGGGTTTGGCTGCAGCAAGGGAGCCCGGCCACCGCCGGCCCCTCCGCGGGAGCCCTTCTGCGGTGCGGCTGCAAGACGGTTTCGCAAGCGGTGCTCGGCTGCTGCCCCGTTGCGCTCTGGTGTCCAGCCATCAGCGACCCTTGGCGGCGCTCTGGTGTCCCGCCGGCCCTTTTCTCCAGGCCGAGAAGCTGCAGCCTCTCCTCATGGGGAGCTGCTGCAGCCCCGGCCGGTCCTTGGCCTGTTCTGTTGCGCAGTGTCCCCTCCGAGGTGCATTCATTGGGAGAGCACCGCTTTCCAAGGGCAGCCACCAGTGGGACGATTGGACAACAAAGACGTGCAGTACGCAAAGGGAAAAATTGTTGGCATTTTTCGATTCCTGTCCTAATCCCAACGTAATACGTATCTTTTCCACAGCAGCCCATCCCCGGACACACTTCTCCTTTCTAGATCAGCAGTGTCTCGCTGGGACTCCCGCAGCAAACACATCCAGTTGGGATTGTTTTCCTGATACGTATCACTTCATGCATAGGAGCATGAGAACAGCTGTGCCGGATCAGACCAAAGGTCCGTCCGGGCCAGCGCACTGTTCACGCAGTGGCAAACCAGCTGCCTGCGGGATGGGTGCAAGCCCTGCAGCTGCGCAAGCTCTGCAGCAGCAGGTGTGTGCAGACATGCCGCCTCTGAGAACAGAGGTGGCCATACTGGTGGCCATCGGTAACCTCCTCCCCACCTAGGGCTGCCCGTTTGCCTCGGCCCTGTATGTGGTGGCCCCAAATTTCCCCATCACAGGATTACACCAGCCTTGCCAGAAGGGCACCATGTAGGAACCTCCCCCTGCCCGCTTCGTGGTTCTGGCTTCTCTGGGGCTGGGTGTCAAGTGAACCTTGAAGGACCTGGCATCTGGCCCCCAGCAGCTGACATGGTGAGGGTTCAGGGGACAGGTGTTAAGCCCTTGTTACCCAGCATGGGTACATCGAGGGGCCGTTGTGAGACAGTTGACCTCAAGGAGACCCGAGGTGGCCCCTGGGGCCGCCACCTACAGCCCCCAAGGGCAGCTGCAGAGGAGGGAGATGCGTGGAGGTGAACCAGGCTAGGAACCGGGTGCGAGACAGCAAGCTGCTGCACGATAGCCTTGGTCTGGACATGGCAAAAGTTAGATACAATTGTCCAGAATACAAAATAAGAAGCAGCTTGAGTCTCCCCGGGTGGGAGAAGGGGCAGAGCCAGGCTCTGGTGCTACCACAACCACTCCGATCGTGTGCCGCAAACGGCTCCCCCGTCCCCCCCCCCCAGGCTTCTCCCATTCGGCGATGGGAGAGGGACTCTGGGCTCTGGCTGCACAGACCCTGCACCAGCAACGAGACCAGAAGGCCGCTTGCTCCAATTCAGTTTAATAAGTTAAAGTCCAGGCCATCACACAGCAGTGAACTGTTCCAACATATACAAAGGTGCAGAATTTCACAATCATCTTTAAATAAATGATTAAATCTTGTCCTTTAAATATCTACATGGTTCCTATTCCTTTTAATCTAAACCGTCGGGGGGTTAAAATAATCCACCCACAGAAAAGGCCTCGGGTGCAGAAGAGCCCACGCAAGCAGGGTGCTGGCCCGGGCTCCATTTGGGGGGCTTGGTCCAGCCCACATACAGGGGAGCTGGTGGCAGCCAAGAATGGGGGTGGGGTGGGGGTGGGGGTGGAGAGGCCAGGCAGCCCAGCTTTCCTGCAGCTCTGCTCTTGCTGCCACATCTTCGCGGGCGGCTGGGGTGGCCATGCAGAAACGGCCTGTTCATCCTCGCACCAAGCAGGCAGCGAGGGAAGGTGGCTCAGCAGCAGCTCCCAGGGAAGAGGGACTCCCGCCGGCAGGGGGAGGAGCGGGGCCCGAGCAGAGGCAGCTGCGTCCGGGCCACTCCCTCCTGCCCTTAACCGGCGCCCCGTCCATAGCCCAAGCCACTGCCGTGTGCAAAGGGGTGTGAGCCCCTCCCAGCCGCCTGGGTCGCTCCCCGGGTCCAGCAGCCCGTGGCGCTGCACTCAGCCTGCCGTGGAGAATTCAGGACACACAGGTGTCGGGCCGAGGACGGCAGCGGCTCACAGGGAAAGAGCGGCCAGGCTCTTGAACTGGTGCTCAGCACCACCACATTCATACCTGTTTCCATCGCAGAAGAGCTCTCTCTGAAGCCTCCCACAAAGTCTATTTCAGAGAGACAGCTTCCAGGAGCCTCGAGTTCCTTTGAAGCAGTACCAGGGCCTTTCCAAAGCAGAGGTGGAAGGAGACCATCCAGAGCTGTGCCGCACTCTCGGTAGCCCAGAGGCCGCCCCAGAGGCCAGCATCCGGGGCAGCCACCTAGAACCTGGATGCCACTCCGGCAGTCCCTGCTCCCGCTGGCTACAGCCACCGTAAGCTGCAGTTCCTCTTGGTGGCCGGGGGGCACCAGGTCGCCTCCCTTCTCAGGTCTTTCCAGGCCGTTGGCCCAAAGTGAGGCCCGCCCACCAGCATCAGGCCCCCTCCCTGTGCCAATCCATTGTTCAGGCAGAACAGCAGTTTTCACAGAGCAGAGTTTATGCAACCGAAGCAGCAAGCCATACAGGAATATATAGCCGGAGCCATTTTTCAAGGCCATGATCCCACAATGCTGTCCTGTTTATTTCCCACACAGAGATGCAAAAGAGGCCAAGGAGTAGAGACCAGGTGCTCCAATCAACTGTAAACAGGTAAGGACTCCAGGACGGGTGGCCCTTCACGGCAAAAAGGACAAATTGGCAAAGCAACAAATCTGCAGTATCCGAACGGGGCTGGTTCACATTAAGGAGGTGGGTGGGTGGTGGGTGAGGGGAGGAGGACGCGTGTGGCGGGGTGGCGAGGGGCCGTCCAGCCAGTCTTCCCCGCTTCAGCATGGACGGGGCCCCAGCACACAGCACCTCCCACCCCAGGGAGCATCTTCCCGGCTGACACGAGGCGACTCGAGGAAAGGGCCCTCGCCTTCTCCGTGGCCACGGCTTCTGCCAGACGGAGCGCCAGGTGCAGGGGAGCTCAGCTCTGGGGCGGGCGGCTGCAGCAGGGCAGGCTGAGGCGGGTGGCTCCCCCACTTGCAGGTGCCAGCACTGCGGCCAGGGCGGATGCTCGCTGCAGGGGAACCAAAGCCCAGGTCTCGGAGGCTGCCGGGCAGCTGTCACTGCCCAGAGCTGCTCTGTGGGGCGCCCCAGGGCAGGGATTCGTCCAACATCACCTGGGGGGTGGACCCTTCAGGATGGACCTCGTGAAAGGAGGACCAGCCCGAGAGGGACGCAGGGCTGCCCTCGGCCTGTCGCAAGGATGGAGCAAGAGGCCAGGCTTGGCGGCACAGGGCCGTTTCTCCAGGTACGCCTGCCCGCACTGTAGCCACAGGTGTGGCTGAGCTTTCAGCAGGCATCCTGGCCTGGAGACCAGGGAAGTCCAAGGAAAGGAGGCCGGGCTGGTGGTGCTTCAGCAGAGGCGGGGCTGGAGACTGCCAAGGGCCGGGCCCCACCTCGGCCGCCTTCAGACGAGCCTCAGCCCCACCACGGGTGGACTGCTCTGGTCTGCACTGTGCACTGGCCCCGCTGAGTGGGCAGGCCCTGCTTCCGGGGAAAAGACATTTGGTCTTAGCTGGACACCTTCCACAGCCGTTGCAACACCTGAGTATCAACTTTTTGGACGGCCCAAGTTCCTTTACTGTGGGTGGCCTTTCTCCACCCCCATACCACTTTCGCTCCATCCCTTAACCTAACCTGCAGGGAGGTACCAGCCCAGCCTCAGCAGGATTGCCCCCCCCCCCCGGCCCCATCAAGCGCAGTCCCTGTGGAAAGCCCCCGAGGGGCCCAGCTCAATTTACACAGTGCAGTTCGGCTCCATGGAGAGGGCGGCTCCTCGAGGCCTTGTGTTCCGAAAGCGGCTCTTCGCACTGGCCACTCCGTTCTGCTGGAGGCTCTTTCTCGCCACGTGCAGAGTGGCTGGAGGCTCCGGCATCACATGGCACCGTCTTTTCTCGTCCGTGCCCTGACACAGGGCAGATCAGCAACATTCCTTCTCTTTAAGAAACATCCGTTAGAGAATCGCAGAACCAGGAGGAGGACTATTTCTTCGCAGAGAAGTCAGCGGCTGGCTCGATGCTCTTGCCCTGCAAAATAGCACCTGGCCGTGTCCCTTCATATCGTTCGCTGGAGTGGGCCAGGCGGGAGGTGGCGGGGCGCTTCTGCGTTGGGAGGGCAAGCGTGGCAGACGCCCCGAGAGGAAGCCACCAACGCCTGGGCACTCTCGTGAAGCCCGTGGGCACCGAGAACTGTGGCAGAACCAGCAAAAGCCAGTAAGCAAGCCGGCTGGTGGGTGAGCGCGCTGCTGCCCCTCAGCAGTGCCTTACACGCGCGGGTGCGTGCACAGAACGGGGTGTCCTTAGGCCACCGGGCGTGTCTTCTCCTCCATGCACACCCAGGAGTCCAAGTGCAGGCTGCAGGTGGCACATGGGTCCACTTCCTTCCCCCACCCCAAGACGGGGTGTGGATCGGCGACACATGGCCACGGCATGTGAACTGTTTCACCCGCGGCCGCTGGGCAAAAGCGTCAGATACCGAACACCGACCAGGGCGGAGGCTGTCGCTCCCGTTGCTTGGGAGGGAGGAGGAACCGGGATCGTGCTGCAGACACGGAGTTGGGGAAGCGTCGGCAAGGGGGCTTTGGAGAACGCGGTCAGCGGCCGGCTGCTCAGTGCTTGTCCACAGCCAGCGTGCTCCCGTTGGCCTTCGTCTTGGACCTGGACTTAAAGGAGAAGCGCTTGATGAGGCGCCGCGAGAAGCTCCCAGACTTCTTCCTGGTGGTGGAGCTCGTGCCGGCATTGGGCAGGTCATCGTGCGACTGGCTGAGGCCGGCTTCCTTCTGCTTGTTCTTCCTCCGGAAGATGAGTTTCGTGCCACTTCGAAGAAAGTTCACTGCGTTGGGAGAGAAACCCTGAGTGCCAAGCGGTGGCCGACCCAGAGCGCCTCCTCGGCTGAGCAGGCATCAGCCTTGCGGGGCAGACGTGCTCGTGGGAGGAGGGCCCGGGCCGAGCGCTAGTCCAGAGGAGAGCGCCCACGGTCCTTCCCCGAACCCGGCTGCTGCCGGCACGGCAGGCAAGAGGACTGCGCTGCCCATCCATCTTGGGGGACACGCCGTGAGGGCGAGGCTTCCTAGCTGCCTCCTCAACCTCGTGCATCGGCCTCCGCTTATTCAGAGCACTGATACCCTCATACATGTTTAGGTCTTGGAAGGCTCCTGACAAACTGCAAGACACGACAGGGCTTGCCGGGGGCACAGACAGCCCCGCGGTCACCCAGCGAGCTACCTGGCTGCGGGGCTGTGAGCCCATGTCTGTCTCCTGGGCCCAGATCAACCCTCCAGGCACCACACGTGAGCCCAGCGGCAGGGCCACCTCAGCGCTTCTTGCGCGGCCTGCCAGCAACGTCCCCGGGGCATCAGGCAGGTCTCTCCCCGCTGTGTGTCTGGGTGCGCCCTCGCGGATGGTATGCTGCGGGCAACCAGAATCGTCTGCAGCCACCACACCGCAGGAATCTGGCCGGATAAAACTAAACTCTGCGAGCTCCCTGAGAGATCGAGCATGGACAGAGGTGGGCAGGATCTGCTGCACAGATGCCTGTCCCCGGGGCCCCAGAGCCCTGCACGCCTCCCGCCGCAGCCGCCGTTGGTAGCCACCGTGGAGCCCACAAGGGCCGCGCCACGGCCCGGCACTGGGCGCCTGCTCAGCCCCACCTTTGTGATCCTTCAGGCTCCGTGTCTCCAGAGCGCCTGTGGAGCCGGTCTCAGACTCCACATCGTCCACCGACGGCCGCTCTGAGATGTCCGAGTGGGTTGTGTCGTCCAGCTCCTGGCTTGCCCTCCGGGCCACGCAGGAGGCTTCCAGCTGCTGCCCGGGGTCCGTCAGGCTCTGCGCGTACTCGGAGAAGCCGGCCGCGAGGGAGTCCTCGTGGAACATGGGCTCCAGGGAGGCTGCATAGCCCAGGGAAAGGGCCATCTCGTCTTGGGCAATGGGCACCTGAGGGCAGTCAGAGGAACCAGCCCAGAGGTCATGCTGGCGGGGGGCCCCGAGCCCCCCCCCCCAGGGCATTCCGGAGGAGCGTCAGTTACCTTGGAGACCCCGGAGATGATCAGCGTGCTGCGCTTGGTTGGGGTCTTCTTGGCGGGCTTGTTGGTCAGATCCGTCAGCTGCCTGATCGCCGTCTCGGCAACTGGGTCCAAGCCATTGGACACACGGCTGCCCCCTGGAGAGCAGGAGCAGGAGGAGCTGCAGCAGCGCAGATCCACTGGCCAGCGCTGTGACCCCCGGGGCAACTGGCGACGGTCCCCCCAAGCAGTCCGGCAGGCAGGAACACCCACCCACCCAGAGCACCGCTGCGGTGGCTCGCGTGGCCAGGAAGGCGAAGCTGGGGCAAGCGCCTCGCCTCCCCTTCCTGCCACCAACCCGAAGGCAGAGCAAGACTGTTTTTAGGGGTGCTTCTCTGCTTCCGGCTCGTGTCCTGCCTTCGCTCCCTGCCCCGAAACCTCGCCTCTGAGCAGCCCTGCGAGCCAGGCCAGGTGGAGGAGCCGCCGGCTGGCCTCGGGGCACCCAGCGGGCTCCAGGGCGCAGGGGGACCTGCCCCAGTCCTCCTGGCCCGTGCCTGGCGTGCTGGCACTCAGCCTCCGCCCAGCCAGCAGGGAGCGGCCGTGCGCAGCCGCCCAGAGGCAGGAGAGGAGGAAGGGCACGCAGCCGGGCCCACAGAGCCCCCCCCCGTGCCCCTGTGGGGCTGGGCCAGGAGGGCCGCCTCCCCCTCACAGGACCCTCCGGCCTCTCCCGGGTCACTCACAGCTGCTGCAGCTCGGGGACATGTCGCTCGCGCAGCTGTTCTCCGGGAGCATCGTGGTCACCTTCTCTGTCACCTCCACCTTGGACGGAGACCTCGAGGGCGAGTCTGGGCTCCAGAAGGGGGCGCCGGGTGAGCCACTGCTGCCTCCACCCCCCCCCCCCCCCCCCCCCCCCCCGAGGCGCCAGCTCCGTCCCTGGGGAGGCCCAACGGGCGAGGGAGGGCTGCCTCTCACGCGGTGGCCCTGGGGAAGCCGGGCAGCTCCCTGTGCCCGAGCCGGGCGACCGCTCACCGAGCTTGCAGTCCACTTTGGGCCTGGACTGGATGGTGGTGACGGTGGTGACGATGGTCCCGTCGGGCATGATAGTGCGGTCCATCTCGACCTTCTTGGTGGGGGTGATGCTGGCACGCAGCACGGGCGCCGCCTGGAGCGCCAGCGCCTCCTGGCGGACCAGCTGCCAAGATAGCCGGGGCGGCAGTGTCAGGCGGGCAGTGTCAGAGGCCGCCTGGCAGAGCTTCACCCGCAGAGGTGGCCCCCCCCCCGCAAGAGAGCTCAGCGTCAGGGGAGCGATGGCACAGGCCTGGCGTCTCGGCCTGGAGGCCTTGCCTGCCGCCTTCCAGCTCACCTCCACTGCGACGGCTGCTCCGGAGGGCAACTTCTGGAGTGTCCCGGGGCTCAGTGGGTAGAGCTGCTGTCCCCGCGGCTCTTTGGAGAGGGAGTCCAGCGGGATGGTGGCAAATCCGAGGAGCACGTCTGCAAGAGGTGGCACTGGGAGTGGCGGGGAAGGGCAGCCCCTGCCCCACACCGGTGGGCCGGCCCGGGAGTGGGTGGCCCTTCCACTCCCGTGTCAGCTTGCCCAAGGGGCCCTCAGAGGGGGTGTCTGGGCAGGGAGGCAGGCAGATCTGGCGCAGCACACCCATCCGCTGCTCCCCCCACGCTTCGGACCCCTCCCCGTGGAAGACTTACCCTCGCCAGCGCCGCTGCTCCCAAGCACGCTCAGCTTCAGCTCCTTGCTCCCGGGGCCCAGCTCCCTGCCCGAGCACAAGAGGCGTGAGGGGGGGGGGTCCCACGGCTTCCCCCCGCTGGCCCCACCCCAAGCACGGGCAGCTTCCCCATCCTCTTCCCTTCACCATCCCTGTCCAAGGACACGAGGGGGGGTGGCTGCCCTGCTTGGGGGACCCCTCTGAGCCCAGAGCCCAACGTTTGCCATGGCAGGTCTTACAAGATGAGTTGGTCAGTCCACTCCACCTCGGATACGGGGCCGGAACTGGGGGCGGCCACGGGCCTCGTCCGCCTCTGCTGTGGGGGGCTCTCCAGCTCCGCCAGGCAGCAGAGCTGCCCCCTTCCTGGAGGGGACACAGAGCAGTCGGGCTGAGGACACACCTGGCTCTCCCCCGAAGCGCCTGGCACGGTGATGACCACAGCAGGGAGGTTCCCAGGAAGCCCCACCCCCTTGCTGTACCTGGAGGCTCCTCCCCACCCAGGTGGGTGGCCCGCAAGCGCTGGAGCAGCAGCCTGGGCCCCGCGGGGGGTGACGGGCTGGAGGGGGCTCCCCGGGACAGCCGGCCACACGGCAGCTGAGAAGAAAAGGTGGGTCAGAGAGGAGGGACCGGACACCAAGGCTCCCCCCACCCCCGGCGAGCCTCGCGCCTGAGCCCTGTCCTCCTAAATCAGCCAACGCTACATTGAACCCGCCATTCTAACCTGCACGCAGGCCACCCTGGAAGGGGACGTTTTGCCTTGAAAGGCAGCCTAGAAATTCCAGCAATGATTTTCAAGAGTAATGCACAGAGGGTTGCCAGACACGATCCCCCCGCCAAGTCCAGGGTGAGAACAGCCAGCAGCCGTCTCCCTTGACAGAAGGCCTCTCTCTTCCCAGCCTCAGGCAAAGCGGGCTCCCCGCGCCACCCGGCCTCCCGCGGGCCTCACCACAGCGCCCCCTGCTGCACAGGCCTTGAGGTTCACCACCATGGCTGGCTGAGTGCCGACGACGGAGTCCTCAATCAGGTCGCGGATGGTGGACAGGTCCACTCTCCCGTCGTTCTCCTGGGTCAGAGCAGCACGGTAAGCAAGGACGCGCCAGCCCGGGGGGCCAGAAGCACTCCTTCTCGCAAAGGGGAAGTTCGGCAGTCCTGGAAAGCCCCAAGAGCCCGTGGCTGCTGCAAGGAGAGGCCAGCCCCTGCACCCGGGTCCTGCAGGCGCCAGAGCGGGTTGGGGGTTTCTAGCAGGATTCCCTTTTGTGCCACCTGCGTTTAGGAGCTCGGAAGGTGCACGGCTTTCCCCGGGATGCTCGTGGGTCTTTTTGCAGGCTGTGAAATGCCTCTGCCCAGCCATGGCGATATTCTCCTGCGCGCGCGCGCGCACACCCCCCCCCCCCACCCTCATCCTCATCTGATGGACGCACAGCCTTTGTCTCATACAAGCCCATCAGTGGCAGGCAGACAAGCCTGTGCAGCTTTGACGCAACAGACGCGGCCCGGAAGGAGTGCGTGGCTCTAGGAACACGCATTCAGTCCAGACCGAAGCAGGTTGCCCTGCCCTTGCACAGTCCATGCCGTGTCCAGGTAAGCCTCCCCTGCCCCGAATTTCCTCCGGTGTGGGGGGTGCAACCTTTTCCAGCCTGAGGGAGACGTTCTCGGCAGCCAGGTTCTGGCAGTGGGCAGGGCCACAGGCCACAGGCCAGGGAGTGGGGGTGGCGTGTCAACCTTTCAGAATGCGGGGAGCCACACACAAGCTGGGCAACGGCCTGTGTTCACTGGTGGGGGCAGGTCAAGGGGACGGGGACGGTGGAAAGGAGTGTCCCCCTCTGGCAAGCCCCGAGAGGGGTCGATCTGGCCCCGGGCGCCCCAGCCTTGCTCTGGCAGGGCTGGTGGGCTGGAGGGTCCAGCTATCCCCCCGCAAGCCTTCCCTGTGGCTTTGCTCACCTCACGTAGCTGCAGCTTTGGGGCAACCGTGAGGTTCAGGGCTGGCCGGTCTTTGAAGGCCCAGGAGACTAGCAGCCCCTCGTCCTGGAGCTCCTCCAGGCGGATCTCCAGCTGCCGCAAACAGAAGAGCCCCCAGGTCACCAGGGAGGCCCAGAGCAGGGCCTCCCGTCCCACCTCGCGTGCAGGGAGGCGGCTCTCCCCACGCAATGAATCTTGTCCCGGATCGGCCGTGCGGGAAGGCCGGAGCCCAGCCTGGGGCAGATGTGCCTGGGCCCCTGTGCTGCTCGTGCGGGGCCCCCACCACCCGTATTGCACCCCAGGAGCTGTGGAGCAAGCCTGCTGAGGGCCAGGAGAGGGGGGCGGTCTGCGCCCCAGACGGCCCGTCCCGCTTACCTGGGCCTGCAGCACAGCCAGGGTGACGTGGTAGGTGTCCATGGACACGGCGGCAGGAGACTGCTGGGTGACCGAGACGGGGAACTGCAGCGCCTCGGCCGAGAGGTGGCACTGCAGCATCTGGAAGCAGAGGGGAAGCGGGAGGCGGTCAGAGCGCACGTGCCGTTTAGCCGCCCTTGCCGGAAGCTGCCCCGGCGGAGGAGACGCCTCTGCCCAGGCGGGCAGTCGTGGCAAGAGCCTCACCTGCCCAGCAGCGAAGCTGCCACCCCCGTCCAGCGGAGGCGCCTCGCACATCTGGCAGCGACGTGGGGCCGGCTCCCTTCTTGCCTCCTGCCTAGATTCTGCCCTGCTTTTCCATGTCACAACTTGAGCTCTCTGCTGGTGAAACTGCGGATTCTCTGGAGAGCTGCCAGCTGGACCCTGCCCGCAGCGCTCCCTCTACTGACACGACACCACCTCTTCACTCGGTAGCTGGGGCGCCCTGCAGGCCGCTGCTGGCTCATCAGGCTCCTCGCTGTGGTTGCGTCTCTCAGCCCTCCTGCCCGCTCGCCCCTCCTGCTCTTTGCGAGGGGAGGCAGTGCTGCACCGGCCTGTGCCCATTCCCCCCCCACCCGCAGGGCTTGGACTGAGCCAACACTAGCCACCCATCGGCTCTCCAACCGGATGCCAGCAGCAAGACAGTGAAAAACCTGGCGGTGGGAAAACGGTGGTGGTTCCTCTGGGATATACAGGGACAACTCGATGGCAAGAATCGGTTTAAATAGTCCTATACCGCAAACAGAGAGGGCTGCTTGCTTCCATCCAGACCAGCAGAAGAGCAAAATGGGCCTCCCGCCCTGTGGCTTACCATGCTGCAATCCGTCCGGGCTGCGCACGTCACCTGGGTTATGCTCACGGCTGGCAGTTGCTGCGGTTTCTCCTCAAACATGATCTGGACTGAGCTCTGAGGGGAGAAGAGAACACCGTCAGCCCCCACGACCCAGCGCGGCCCATGAGAGCACCACAGGCAGGCCAGAGGGGCCTTGGGGAGGCCTGGCAGCGGGCCCCCTGGACAGCCCTGCAGGCACAGCCCCCCGGGTTGCCGAGGCAGGCCTGGCCTTCCAAGCCAGCATTTCCAGCCTTCAGTTCCCATGGCAGTTTGGGAAGCTGGACGTGTCCAGCTGCAGCCAAATGCAGCCCGAGAAACTCACTCAAGGCAGCATCTAGCCATAATTCTTACAGTCTTTGCGGTGCCTTCGAGCACCGCACACGCTGCATGTGCATTAAGCATTCTGCATCCTGCCAAGAGGCCTGCAAGGTAAGCTACACGGAGCAACCCTTGTCTGTGGGAGACGGAGAAGCTGCTTGCCTGAGCCCACCTGTGAGCCACTGAGTGAGTCCAGACCAGGGAGGCCGCTGCTCTCTGCTTCCTGACACAGGGAGCTGCCCTGGTCCCGGTGGGAATGTGTCCCCATCTGGCCCAGGGCGGCTTCTTCGGGGCAGCAGCGGCTCTCTCCTGGGCATCACAGGGGGCATCTTTCCTTCAATTGCTGCTTGGCCCCCTAACTGGGGGCGGGGGGGCCGGGCCTGGCACCCTCTTCCGCAAGACAGATGCAGCAGCAGTTCCTTCCCAAATGGCGGGAAGGCCGTCTCTGCTTCCAACCACAAGGGCCCCTGCAGAGCAAGAGGGGTCGTCCCGAGGACACCAAGGACTGCCTGAAGAAGCGTGCGGATCTAACACAAGGAAGGACCAGCAGATAAAATAGAGCAGCACGAGGAAAAGGGTTGGTTGATTGCGTGGCTTCACACACAAATGCCCAGTCAAAGCCAACAAAAACAAAGATGAAGAACATGAAAAGTATGAAAAGTGCATTACTGTTCCATTCATGTGTTAACACATGCAGCCACATCAGCTGAAGCAGTGAGAGCAGGAAGGGTTTAATGCTACGAGTTCAGAGACGGAGACAGAAAACCTGTTACTGCTGCACAGCAAAATTCGAAATCAAATAGCAAGGTTTTGTAAATTATTTATCTGGCCAAGTTCTGTTTCTTGCCTGCTTCCATGAATCCCTGGGATGCAGAATCATCTCAAAGGGAAGCCAAATGCACAGATCCCAAGAACTAGATGTTGCTTCACTTGGGCAGCAATACTGTTTAAGTTGTTCAGAGAAGAAAAGCTGTGGGAAGCCAACGAAGCTGCCCTGGGTGGTGAATCACTGGGAGGGAGGGAGGGAGGGAGGGAGGGGGGCATTGCAAGCGCCCCAACTCAAGCAAAGCTTGGACTCCCGGCAGCTGTGCGCGCTGGCAAAAGGTGAAAGAAAGTGGCGAGGAAAAAGCTGCAGCCGTCCAGCCCAGGGCTGCGTGGGAGGACACACAGAGACGCAGAGCGGGGAGGTTGCGGGAGGGAGAAGAGGCAGCCCTGCCCTGCAGGTCCCGCTCCCCCTTAGTAAGAAAAAGCCGCGGCTTTCAAGGACACCTTCGCGAAACAAAGCCGAGTCCACCCACCCTCATCTGCCCTCCCACGTCACACCGCTTCGCTTCTGTGTGGCTTCTTCACCATTCAAATTGCTAAAAGGGAAAGCCATGACATCGGAAGGAGCTAAAAATAACCCTTTCCACAGCAGACCTGAGATTGGCTGCCTCCAAAAGAAATGCATCCCGGAGCTCTCTCGGGATTTCACGGGGAGAGAAAGGAGTTTCACCACAGAGGAAGGAGAAGGATCAGGCCCTAAGCCCCTTTGCATTGCCCAGATGAAAAATCTTCACCGTTGCTGCAGTCCTTGCGGATTAGGGCTGGGGAGAGAAAAAGCTGCTTACTGGGGCACCAGGATGCTTCCCGTGACGGATCGTCAAAGCCCGAGCAAAGAAATAGATGCACCTAGCACTGAATTCAGCTTTGTTTAACAAGGAATCTTACAGCCAGCAAGACATGGGTTTCGTTAGGCACCGAAGAGAGCACTATTCCTATTCTCAAACATAACACTCATTTGATTTTGGTTTTTAAAATGCTTGCCTTACTTTGAAGTGAAGCCTGTCAAGGGAACGTGAACTCATGCAGAAACAAACGAAGGGCCTGAGGAAGCAGTTGCACCAGTCACCCTCCACCAAGAAAGCCAGTCTGGAAGAATGCTCAGGCTCAGGCTCAGGCCGCAGCCAGCCGCCAGAGGGAAGGAGCCAGCGCTACGAGGGAGCCACGAGAACAGCCCAGCGCCTTCTCGCCCCGCATGCACGGCTCTGACGATGCAGAGATGCCCAGGGGAGCCGCTCGCAGCCGCTTTTCAGCCCACGTGGCCACCCCCCAACACGGGCAGCACATGTGGCAACGCCGAGTCTTCCTACAGCACCGTTCATCACCAGCCTGGGGCCCCCGAGGGACGGTCAACCTCCATCCCTTTTGCAACGCTGGAAGAGCCAATTCTGCTGCCTGGTGGGGGATGCCGTCTCAAGGTGCCGGAGGAGCCAGTGCAGCTGTGCCGGCCAGCAGGCCTGTCCACAGCGGGAGGGAGGTGCACGCCCCAACGCGGCCTTCCTCAGGCACAGATGGGCTGGGGGCCTGCTGCTCGCTTTTGCTGGTGCAAAGACCCCGCCTCCAGTGGAGAAGGACCGGGGCCCTCCCCGGGGCCTGGCTGCAGGCTCGCTTCCTGAGGACAATCCGGCATCCTGCCAGGGCCGAGAAAGGAGCCAGCCCTGCACCAGGAGGGTCCGCTCGCCAGGCGGTTCTGCGCTGCACCCGCGGTACGCAAGGTGGTGCCTGGCTGCAGCTTCCTGTCCAGGTGCTGCAGATGTGGGGCCTGCCACAGGCTCCCTGCCATCTTCCAGGCCGGTTGGCCCCAGCTCTCGGTCCCACGGTAAAACATGGTGTGTGCTACCCCCTTGCCTAGCTCCCTAAAGCTGAGGCTGGTTGTGACCTCTCAAGCAGGTGGATGCAGGATTACCACACACCCTGCACTGTCCCTACACAAGTAGGCTTTTAAAATGGGCAGCGCTGTAGGGCAAGGCTCTTGGCAGAGGTTGCAGCGTGTTCTATGCCAGTCTGCTGTATGCACGCCCTGCCCAGCCGGGCAGGTGGGGAAGTGCGTGTCTGCGACCCGTTGTGGAATGCCCCCTCTACTTCAAGATGGATGCAGACAAGCCGAAATGGCTGCTCCAGCTCTGGAGTTCCTGCCTTGGGCAAGGACTGGGCCCAACAGCTGGCAAGTCGCCTTTGAACTCCCGAATTCAAGGGAGACACACATTTCGGAAGAAACCGCTGGACGTGCTAAGCAGGCACCGCCCTGATGTTTTACTGCCAGGGAAGCTCAATGGCAGCGTGTCCTCCAAGTCCACAGACAAAAAGCTCACCAGCTGCTGGGTGACCTTAGCTTGGAATCAGGCACCTTCTCCCTCCCCTCCCCAAACCGTCGCATAACTGGAAGCGACCGCAGAAAAGCCTGCATTTCCTCTGGACAGGATGCTGAACGGCACTCAGGCACAGGTGGCTTGGCGCTCTTGGGGTGGGGAAGCGGAAGGGAAGACCTTGGAGCCGAGCATGAGAAAGAGCGGAGCTCTCCACCCACAAGTCCCAGCTTGCATTTATTTTGTTTATTTGTTTATTAAAAGGTTCTGCGTGCCATCGGCGTTGCCTCCGCAGGTGCCCTCTGGACTCGGCACCCTCTGTACAAATGTGAGATGTGGTTTCGATTTGCATGGCCAGGGGCCAGCCTGGCTTCCAGCACACAGAAAAGGCCCAGTGGTGTTTCTCAGCACCTTGATCGGCTGGCCGGCTGGCCACCTTTAGCACTGTACCATGGACTCCGGGAGGGAGCGGTGGAAAATCCCGCATGTCACCCCAGGGCACAGTCCTCGAGAAGGAAGAGCCTCCGCGTCCCCCCACAATCAAGCTTAATATAACGGCTGAAAGTGCTTTGAAAGTGATTTTAGTTTCTGCATCCACACTCTTTGCCAGGGAGAACTGCATTTATTTTGATTAATGAAATAAAGGGCTTAATTGTGAGATTTGTATGAAAACTAAAGAAGACTCAATAAGCTACAGCATGTGCAAGGCTGAATTTTAATTGCAGGAGAGCCCAGAAATTGAGCTATAGAGATCTCTGGAGCCCCACGGCAGCCCCCATAAAGTTGGTGGCCTGATGAGAGTGTCCCTGCCCCCCGGCTGTGAGGCAGCCCATCCTCGGACGGGCACCTTGTCAGGCCTCTGTCCCGCCAGAACACGCAGGACTCCAGGAAAAGTCCCGGATCCTTCCTTCCTTCTCTTCTCCTCGCAACAGTTTAAAGCCGCCTGCGAGGCACCGAAATGCCCAAGCAGCGCGCCTGGCCTGGTTCGCAGAGCGCCTCGGTGCCCTGCGCAAGGGGCATCCAGCGACGGTCCCCGGTGGGCGTCACGCACGCCCGAGGCAGGCTAGAGGGAGGCGAGGACGGGCTGAGAGCGCCGGTGCCAGGCAGCCTGCGGGATCTGTCCCGCTCGGCCCTGTCGAAGCCGCAGCGCCAGCCGCTTCCACGCCCGGAAGGCGGCGGCGTCGCGAGAGCGCCTCGTCGAGCCCGGTTCCGAAACCCCGAGGACGCGGCGCGCCCCGCGGCTGCCGCGATCCGGTGCCAGGTCGCCCGCGCACCTGCCCGCCGGGGCCGGCACGACCCCTCCCCGAGCGCGAGCGGCTCGCAGCCGGGGCGCAGCTGCGCGCTCGGTCGGCGGGGGCGCTGCCGGCGGGCGCCGGGCGCCGTCCAGCCCCAGCCCGCTCGGGGGCCCCTTCGCTCCGCCGCGCCGACTTACCCCGTGCCGGCGGGCCTGCTCGTTGAGGGCGCGCAGCCAGGCTCGCTGCCAGTTCTCGCGGAAGGCGCGGAAGGCGAAGAGCGAGGCCAGCAAGCCGCGCGCCCCGGCCGCCTCCTCGCCGCTGCCGGAAGCGCCTCCCCCGGTCGAGCCCCGGCGGAGCAGGGACGCCCAGAGGCCGGCGGCGCTCCGAGGGGCTCCCTCCAGGCGGCCCCGGCCGCGCCACAAGCCGCGGGCGAGCTGCAGCAGCCAGGCCGAGACGGTGAGCAGCGAGGCCGCGAAGAGCAGCACCAGCGCTGCCCAGCCCCAGCCCAGCCCCGGCTCGGGCTCCATGGCACCGCCGAGGCTCACGGGGCGCCGGCGTGCATGGCTGGCGCGCCCGGGCTGCTCCGGCGGGCGCTGGCCGCTTCCACCCTCGCTCCGTGCCGGCTTCCAGCTACATGTCAGCCGCGCAGCGCTCCTGCGGGCGGGCACTCTTCCTGCCTGCCTGCCTGCCTGCCCTCCCTCCCGACGGAGCGAACGAGGCTGGGCTGGGCGGAGCGCAGGGCAGGCGGAGACGTGCGGCCCGGCGGGCGGCGGCGGCGGCTGGGCAGGGCCAAGGTCGCGGCGGCTCCCGCCCCTCCTTAAAGGCGCAGAGGCGGCCCGGCTGGCGCGCTCGGCCAAGGACCGCCAGCCCACCTTTGACGGCTCCCGAGAACCGGAGAGCGGCGAGGGCTGCGCCGCGTGAGACCTGGCAGGCGGGAAGCCCGACGGCGCCGCGGTTGTGCCGCCAGGAGCGGCGCGAGCGACCCGCCACTGCCCCGGAAGCTGCGTGGTAAGTGCGGCTGACGGAGTGCTCGCTCCGGCGACCGGCCGGGCGCGCCACCCCGAGGCAAAAGCCCTCGATCGGGCTCGGGAGTCCCGGCCAGCGAGTGCCGCGGACCAAGCCGTAGAGAGCAGGGCGCGCCTTCGTGGGCCAGCGGTGCCTGCTCCTCGGCAGGACTGCAGCCGGGGGGTCGCTTCTCGCGTGGCCCTGCTGACCACGTCACTGCTGCGGCAATTCGCGGGAGCCTGCTGGGCTCCTTCGAAAGTGTCTCGGATATTTCGGGCCAGGACGAGCGGGAGACCTTGAGCGGCTGCGGAGGGGGGCGCAGTTCCGGACCCTTCCCAGCTCCAGGCAGCCCGTGCCCGGCGCCTGAATGAAAGGACGGGGCCAGCACTAGCGCGCGGATTGCGGGCGCCGGAGAGGCGACTCCCGCTGTGGCACCTCCAGGAAGACTGCATGGCCGGGGCGGCTCCGCTTGCAGCGGCGGCGCTGTGCACCGTCTCCGGGCCACGCTGACTCGGGAGTAAGCCCCTCGGGACGCAAATTCGAGGTCTTTTCAAATAAGCCCGTCTGCCCGTCTCTCGATTCTTTGACGCCGCGGGCCCTTTAAATGGTCCGGCCCGGAGCAGCGGTGCCTCGCCCAGACAATCGTGAGCGGGGTGACGTGTGGGGAAGGGAGAGGGCGAAGCGCTCCAGCGGCACCCGCGCGGTGCCATGTTTGTTTTGGGCAGCCCTAACATCGCACCTTCGTAACCGGCTCCGTTTCCAGTTAAACTGCCCATGGAGCCCCAGGCAAGGTTCCTCCGAAGGGCGGGAGCCACCGTCCTGGTGGCCCGTGCCTTCGATTGCGTGCGGCGACTGCTGTCGGACCAGCCGCAGCACACCCAATGGCACTTCCGGGCGGAAAAGCTGCCGGGGAGACGGGTTGCGTCACGCCGAAAAACGCCCGGGTGGAAACATTTCCCGGAAGTGAAAAGAAGGCCCCGGACTGTGGGCGTTCGTCCTCGCCGGAACGGCAGCAGTGGCGCGGGCTTCCGCGGGCTTCCTACCTCTCGGGGAGGCCGGGGAGCGGGGTTGGCGGCCGAGGGCTTGTCCTTGGGGCGGGGAGCTCTCGCTGAGGCCCGGGAAAGGCCCCGGCGTTTCTCCGCGGCTGCCTCGCTGACGAGGGTCGGGGAACCGCGCAGAGCCCCCGCCGTGCCAAGGAAGCCTGTCGTGCTCTCTGCGCACGTGTGTGTGCATTCAGCAGCCCGGAAAGGGTGTTAAGAGCTGCGAACGTGACTGTTCCGAGTGCGCCCTCCTGTATGGGGCGCTGCCCCGAACCTGCACCGCTGAGGAGCGCAGGGAGTCGCCACGTGTTTCTTCCTCGTAGCAATGAAGATTTGCCGCCATGGATGCTGCTGTGACTGGATTCTTCTGTCGGCGGTTGTGGCCTAGCAGTCCCCGCCCTGTCGCGTTGCCAGTGCCAAGAGGAGCCAGATAGTTCTCAGCTAGCAGCGGGCCGAAGCTGCCGAGCGACTGCCTCCTTGCCCTCTGTCCATGTACTTCAGTGCTTTGGTGCCTCCAGAGCTGGCTTGGAGATGTGGAAGTTGCCGGTCATCCCGCTGTTGATCAACTTCTGTGGCTCCGTTTTGGGCTTTGTAGCGACTCTGATACTCATTCCAGCCTTCAAGGACCACTTCATTGCAGCCAAGCTTTTTGGGATTGACTTGAACAAGACCTCCAAGCAACCCATGTGAGTAAACCGGTTGCATTCTGTGCGGTGTTCTCAGTTGTGCTTTGCAGGGGTAGATTGAACCCGAAGAAGTGCCAAGGGGCAACCCTGGGAGGGCTGGTGGAGCTATGAAGCAGTGCAGGTGTGTGAAGGCATGTGCAGGGAGGGCTGCACGGGGCTGAGTCTGTGTCTCTGTTCAGGGGCGCTCCGGGTGCTTTTCGTGTACTCTGACCTCCTGCTCCTAAACACCGCTTGTGCTTTAGCCGGTTGGATTTCATAAGGAGGACATGCCAGGATTCTGTGGGGCGATGCCAACTAATCCCTGGCTTGTGCTCCCTGTTCCAGCCCAGAGTCCCAAGGCGTCATTAGCGGGGCGGTCTTTCTGATCATCCTGTTCTGCTTTATTCCGGTGCCCTTCTTGAGCTGCTTTGTGGAGGAGCAGTGCAAAGCATTCCCACACCATGAGGTGAGTGGCTCCTTGGAGTGGAGCCTGAAGCAGGACACGGGTGCTGGAGCTGAGTTGGCCCCAGGCGTCCAAGGAGCGGATGCCCACTGTTCGGCTTTGCCTTGCAGTTTGTGGCACTGATCGGCTCCCTCCTTGCCATCTGCTGCATGATTTTCCTGGGCTTTGCGGATGACGTCCTCAACTTGCGCTGGCGTCACAAGCTACTTCTGCCCACCATGGCCTCCTTGCCCCTCCTCATGGTCTACTTCACCAACTTTGGAAACACCACGGTCGTGGTGCCCAAGCCCTTCCGGATGCTGCTGGGCATGCACCTGGACCTGGGTGAGTGGCCCACAGCCAGCACAGGTGCCGTGCAGCTTCTCTGGCTAGCATCACTGGAGGAGGTGCTGCCTCAGCGCCTCTGGGGGCAGCTGATGCCAGCCACTCTCCCGGTGTTGCCGTGGGAAGCTCCTTGAGCGAGCAGGCTGGCCTGAGAGAGACTGATGGGTGCGGGCATTTCCAGAGCCCCCCGCAGCCCGCTGCTCCGTAGAGCGTTACGTGGCCAAGGTCCTCCGGTGAGCAGGCCTGAAAGCCCCCTGGGTTTTCCTCGCAGGCATCTTGTACTACGTGTACATGGGCATGCTGGCTGTGTTCTGCACCAACGCAATCAACATTCTGGCCGGGATTAATGGTCTGGAGGCGGGGCAGGCCTTGGTCATCGCTGCCTCGATTGCCACCTTCAACATCGTGGAGCTCAGTGGTGAGCGGGGGGAGTGCCTGGGCGGCCCCAGGGCACGCCCGGGCTGTGTGCTGCACAGGGCTCGGAGCCGGCATGGCGTTGCGTCGCGTTGGGGGAGAGTGGGGCGCGCCCTCGGTGTCCCTGCGGAGGGGAGCATGGTGGGCGGCAGCGCTTGTGCCACGGGGCTCCTGGGCGGGCCCGGGTGGCCGACCCAGCTGCTCCATCGTCTTCTCCCTCTCCTGCAGGGGATTACAGGGATGACCACATTTTCTCCCTCTACTTCATGGTTCCCTTTTTCTTCACCACACTGGGGCTGCTGTATCACAACTGGTAAGACAGATCACATGAGTCCCAGTCCAGCCCTCTAAGCGCCGGTTCTCACGTTTTGGGGGACGCCCCACCCTGCCTGCCCTTCGCCACTCATGTTCCGTTATAGGCCCATTCTGTTGTATTGGGCTGAGCCCTCTGGGATGCTGAGCCCTGCCCAGCGCTGGGGCTTCCTTGCTTGTCCAGCCGTCTGCCTTTTACGGTGCGCGCTCTGTGTTCTGATTGTCCTCTCCTCTGGCGGAGTGCAGGTACCCTTCCCGCGTGTTTGTGGGCGACACGTTCTGCTACTTTGCTGGCATGACCTTTGCCGTGGTGGGAATCCTTGGGCATTTCAGCAAAACCATGCTGCTCTTCTTCATCCCCCAAGTGCTCAACTTCCTCTACTCGCTGCCTCAGCTCTTCCACATCATCCCTTGCCCACGCCATCGGCTACCCAGGTAACAAGGGCTCTGCTGCCTGGCAGAAGCTTGTCCCACTTTGGCTGCTGCTGTCTGGCAACAGCTCTCGTTTGATGGAGCCTGCCTGCCTACGGATTCCCTTGGCTGCTACCAAGGAATGCTGGGAACTGTAAGGGGCATGATATCCGAGGCTGGCTGAACCCCAGTTTCCAGAGATCTATTAACATTGCAACAGTTGAAATGCATGGGGCACAGATGAAAAGTTTGCTTGGATCAGGGTTGGGCAGCTTGCAACGGTTTGGATCCTTGAGTCCGCAGCTCCTGACAGCCATGGCCTGCACAGCCCATGGGAACGGATGGCAAGGCTGTGACCAAAGCACCTGGGGGACCACAAGGCGATTAGTGGTCTTCCTTGACCAGGCCCAGCCTCACAGTTGGGGCTTGTGCACCCCTGCATGGCATATCCCCACACCTCTCCTCCACGCCTCCGTTGACCAAGTCCTTGTCTGCCTTCAGATTCAATGCTGACACAGGAAAGCTGGAGATGAGCTATTCGAGGTTCAAGCCCAAGAGCCTTTCTCCCTTTGGAGCCTGTATTCTCAAGGTAATGTCAGATCATTTGTGTCAACATGCATGTCCGCTTTGCACCAATGAGCTGGAGAGGACAAAGTGCAGGCGTACCGTCCCGCTAGCCTGATTGCAGTAAACTACCCTCAGAGCTTTGGCCATTGAGTGGAATACATTTAAAGGGAAAAAAACCATCCTAGAGAAGTAGCAGTAGCAAATGTTTCTCCCCAGGTATGCAAGAGACTCCATCTGGTTGACGTGCGTCAAAGAATGGACAAAGATGGCGAATACATAGAATGCAATAACATGACTCTCATCAACTTCGTGATCAAACTCATAGGACCAACCCCTGAGAGGTCCCTGACTGTCCTGCTGCTGCTGATGCAGGTGAGGAGTGGAGCACGAGGACGTGAGGAAAGCCGTGCTGGGGCAGAGCAAGGGGCCATCCAGGCCAGCGCTGTGCTCACACAGCGGCAAACGCGTTGCCCACAGGATCCTCCGGGCGGGGCGGGGACAAGGCCTCCGCCTGCTCAGGCCCCTCAGCAGACATGCCACCCCGACAGCAGAGGTCGCACACAGCCCACAGGCCACGAGCCACTGATAGCTGTCGCCTCTAGGATTTTGCTCTCCTTCTGAAGCCACCCAGATTGGTGGCCGTCGGCTGTTTCTTCTGGTGGAGAATTTCATCATGTAACTAAGTGGGAGGAAGCAAGCGCAGTGTCAGGGGAGCTGTGTGCTTCCTCAGCACGCGTTGATGAGGCGTGGGAAGAAAGGCCACCTTCCCCAGGTGTCCAGTTCCAGAATCTGATAGTGAGAATTGTGTGAGCTTCTGGATCCCAATGCGCCCTCTTGTTTGCCTCCTTTTTGTTCAGGTTACGGGGAGCATCATTGCCTTTTCCATCCGGTACCAGCTTGTGCGCCTGTTCTACGACGTCTGAGCCACGCTCGTGGTGTCTGCCCCGGCCCCAGCACTTGGCTTGCTTCCCACGTGGTCCAAAGCTGCACTTGGCCTGCAGTGGCCCGTGTCTCTCTCTGGAAGACCTGGGCAAGGGCCTTGTTGGCATGCACAGGTGTCCAGGCCCAGGGTGGGCTGGCTGGGGTTGTCCACAGCGTGCTCTTTCTGCTGTTGTCACCGGAGCTGCCTGTGTGGCTGCTGCACTGACAGAAGTGGAAAGACCCCGGTTGCCTGGCTGATATTTTCTGTCTTCTGGTGGGGCGCTGTGCTGCCGCTGTCTGGAGAGACGGGGAAGCAGGACGGAGTTCCCCTTACTGAGCGGTTCCCTCTTCCTCATTGTCTCACGCACTTAAGATCCCTGTTAGAGTAAATGCAAGGTTCATGGTGGTTCTGGGGTTTTGGTCCTGTGCTGGCAACCGGTTCTGTGAATGTGGCAAGGAAGCAAAGTTCCCCTCAGGTTTGCTAAGAGTAGCTCCTTGGCAAGGTGCTCCTGAACCAAAGCACTGGGGAGAAGAGAGAATGGGCTGTGTAGATACTGTCCCTTTCCCGGGTCCCTGTGCTGCTGCTCCTTCTGCAGGACAGCGTCGTCCTCCCTTTTGTCTGTCATGGTTGGGATGGGAAGCCCAAAGAGCAACGGTCAGCATGGTTGCTGCAGCAGGAGGCCTACTGGGTTTCGCACAATTTGCTTCATCTAGAACCCGCTTGAGATCCTGCGCTCAACCTGGGCAGGTTGCTGCCTCCAGCCCGCCAATTCCCCATCGCCTCTGCATGTACTCCGACAGGGACTGATTTGGTGGTGCTCTTCTATACCACTATCTCACGCATACAGGATGAATGGCAGGAGAGCTGTCCTGAGCAGTAAAGGCCCACCAGCCAGCTCACTTGGAGGGTGGGGGGAGGTTAAAAACTTAAGTAACACTATCCTTTGATCAGGAGGGCGGGACAAATGAGCCTTTATAATAAAGCCATGAAGGAATGGAAGTGAGAGTTGTGCTTATTAGAGGAAGGGGCTTGTGCCATAGCATGGATCTGGGGACACTCGCTTGAATGGTCACAGGATAGACTTGTAAATTCCTGCCCATAATTTCCTCATAAATCCCTTCCTGCTTATTCCTCCCTGCATGGGCCTCCCTGGGCTGGACTGTGGCCCGGAGGCATCTGCAGAGAGAACTTTGGGCCTCAGACTGAAAGATTGTTCATCCCATCTTACTGCAGTGGCACTATTCCCATATAGGGTGGCATTTTCTGTGTGTCTTGCACTGCGTGGCTGCCATGAAAGGTGGTCTTGTCTTTTCTGAGTGCCCTGTTACGAGGACACAGCACTAAACTGCTTCTTCGGGACTGTAAAATAGCTGCCTTGCCCTGGATGGTGGGGCCTCCATTTGTGTGCAGACAAGTGGCTGCTATCGCTTATTTGGAAAGGCAGGGGAATGGTCACTGATTGGAGTCTTTATTGTCCCGGAAAACTTCCATACCAAGGACAGCATCACACTTGCAGCTGAAGCCAAGGAAGCAGACCCCGCTACCTGCAGCATCAGCTGCACCTCTGCCAAGCACTGGCTCACCCTGTATGCAGGATCCAAACCTGTGGAATAACGGCTTGATTTGCAAGGTGCTTGTGGCCAGTACAACAAAATGAGGCAAATAAAAGGCCTGGAACACCAGAGAGCACTCTAGCCAAGGTCAAGTGGGATTTCCAGCAACCTGCTTCCAGGCGAGGGGAAAGCGGCACACGGCGGCTGAGCCCGGACGGCGCCCTGCGGGGCGCGCTGCACCCGTCTCCTTTTGAATTTGGCGCGCCGCGCTCGCAGTGGCTCCGGGCGTTTGCCAAAAGTCGGGCGGCTGGCCGGCGCGCCCAATCGGCGCGCCGACCCGGCGCAGCAGCGAGCCAATACGCGCGCCGGAAAGCGTCGGCCAATGGGGAGGGCGCGCGGTTGCTACAAAGGCGCGGAAAAGAGCGGGCGGCGGGTCTCCATCGGCCGGCTGCGGGCGCGTGCGGCCGGGCGTCTGTCGAGCGGGCCATGTCGGGCCGCGGCAAAGTGGGCGGCGGCGGCAAGGCGCGGGCCAAGGCCAAGTCGCGCTCGTCGCGGGCCGGGCTGCAGTTCCCGGTGGGGCGTGTGCACCGGCTGCTGCGGCGCGGGCGCTACGCGGAGCGGGTGGGGGCCGGCGCGCCCGTCTACCTGGCAGCGGTGCTGGAGTACCTGACGGCCGAGATCCTGGAGCTGGCGGGCAACGCGGCGCGCGACAACCGCAAGACCCGCATCGTCCCGCGCCACGTGCAGCTGGCCGTGCGCAACGACGAGGAGCTCAGCCGCCTGCTGGGCCGCGTCATGATCGCGCAGGGCGGCGTCCTCCCCAACATTCCCGCCGCCCTCCTGCCGCGCAAGGCCGCCGCGGGCGCGGGGAGCGGCGGCGCGGCGGCGGCGCCCAGGAAGAAGACCGTCCAGGCCTCGCAGGAGTACTAGCCCGGAGGAGAAGGAGGAGGAAGGGCACGGCGCCCGCTGCCGCTATCTTGGGACTGACGCTTCGGGACGGGCCCACGCCAGGGCCGGCCGCAGAGACTCCCGCTGAGGCGGCTACCTGGACCTCGAGTGTTCATTAAAGGGCTTTGGGTATCGTTGCCGACTTCTCCGTAGTTTGTGCGGCGGTGGGGTGAGCCGAGCGAGCCTTGGGGATGCAAGACGTGGGGAGGTGCGCGGGCCCGCGCTGGAACGGAAGCCTCGGGTCCAGCCCCGGAAGACGCCCTCCATCTGTCGCAACCCAGGCATGTGGCTGCTGCGCGGGCTCTGGCCTTCCGTCCGTTGTGTGCGACTCCCTGTGGGGTAAACGCGGTCGATCACTCCGTAGCAGGGAGGGTGTGTGGGAGGGGGTCTCTAGTGCCAGGGGGCTGAAGCTTAATCCTTCACATAGAAATCGTTTTGGTGGCGTGGGGAGGTGAACCACAACATTATACCATGGTGTAACCATAAAAAATGGCACGGCAAGAGTTGTTCAGGAAAGCAGCACTCCGCAGTTAAGGGAAAGCAGGTGAGAGGAGGCCTGGTAGCTGTCAGGGTTCAGGGAGAGCCGTCCACCGGTGGACACTCCCCATGATGCCAAAGGGGAATGTGCCAGGCTCGGAGCGCCTGGAGGATTTTTGTGGACTTGTCCTGCTTGTGGCTTCCTGACAGCACCTGGCTGGCTCATGTAGGAGACAAGGCAGCATCAGAGTTGTAGATCACAAGCTCCATAGAGGTCAAAATGTGATGTGGCTTGAAAAGGGCAAGTGCTATTTTAGGCTGCATTAATGTAAGTATCACTTCCCAATCTCATGAAGTCTCTGGGGTCCTGTGTCCAGTTCTGGGCACCACAGTTGAGAAAGATGCAGAGAACCTGGAAAGCGTTCAGGGGAGGCCAGCAAGGATGATCTGGGGACTGGAAACAAAGCCTTCTGAGGAGACAGTGAAAGGACCCGACATGTATCACCCACAGAGAAGACTGAGGGGAGAGGAGAGCATGGTTCAAGTCCTTGGAAGGCTGCCGTGAGGAGGAAGGCCAGGATCTGCTCTTGGTCATCCCAGAGCACAGGACACAGGATAACATGTCAAGAGACAGAAAGCCGAATTCCAGATAGATACTGGGAAGAACTTCCTGACTGTTAGGGCAGCATGACAATGGGGCCAATGGCCGCGGGAGGTGGCGGGCTCTTCCGCTCTGGAGGCAGTCAAGATGCAACTGGACAGGCCTCGGAAGAGGATGGCTTAACTGGGAGTCCCGCACAGAGCAGCGGGGTTGGACTCAATGGCCCTCTGGCACCTCCCAACTCTAGGAGTCTATGAAGAACAGAAACTTAAGCCAAAATACTAGGGAGCCACAAATTGCCAACTGCAGATTTAGGAAAAAACCCCATCCTTGAACATTGGCCAGCTGATTCCTCTCTGCTTCAGCCTCTGAAAATTCAGTGGTCTACTAAAAAGGCTTCAGTCAATGCTTTGTTTGAATTGTTTTAATAATTAAAAACCAATATAAATCAGATGTAATTCTATACAACCAGTGACCCATTAGTGGTTCTGTTAGAATTAAAGCATGAACTCGACCATGAGGTTTTCTCTTCAAAATTCAAGTTGGAAATTGTCATTTCGGCAGCAGAAATGACAAAAACCCAGCATAGCAGCCAGTCTGCAGTAGCTCAAGCGAACTGGCAGCTACTACAATACATTAAGGCCTCTAAGGGGGGAGAAGGGGCAAGCTGGCACTGCGGTTTCTCTGGAGGTCCTCAAGCCTCGTTGAGCTGCCTGGCCACTGTGAGGATGTGTCTTGCCCCCTGGCTCAGCAGCAGCTCAGCCAGCTGAATGCCCAGCTTCTCTGCGGCCGCCTGAGCAAGGTGCGGGATGTTCCTGGCCGTGATGCCAACGTGCTGGATGTTGTCACTGGGGCCGTCTCCGTTCTGAAAGAGAAAGGTCTCCTTAGCAGCCGAAAGCCCATGTGGCAGAGGGTGGGGGCTCCCCACACGGGCCGTCATTCCGGACATTCACAAGAGGAAGCTGCCAGAATCGGCCGGCTGGGCCTGCAACAGAGCGGCCAAGGGTGCCCAGCTTGTCTAGCAGGGCCTGAAATGGCACTGAGGTGGGAAACCTCCCCCAAGCCACTCAGGCCCCCTCCCAAGCTGGGGTGCTTTTCAAAGCCTCAGAAGCTAGTACCTCTTCTGGGAAGTGCACGCTCGTCTGCATGGTCTCCCGCAGGCTGTCGGATCCATCGAGGCTGTAAACGGCACCGGTCATATACAGCTAGGGAGAGCAGAGGATTTCTGGCTTTGCACAGGAAAGCAAGGGAGCGGAGAGGAGAGCAAAAACCCACTGTGGACCCTCTGGAGAAGGCACCTGCAAGCAGGCCCTCCATCCCACACGGTGAATGCTGCATGGCTGGAGCGTTCGTGTGCTTCACGGGCACTGCCTGAGCTAACCCCTTCAACAGCTCTCGGCTCTGTTGTCGTCCTGCGGCAGACGGAGAGCTCAGAAAGCAACATGCCCGAGGCTCCCGGGGGCACTCAAGCAGAGCATCGGAGGCTCCTGGATTCATCGCTCGCTCTCAGCTGCAGGGACATGTCCCCTCCATCTTAATCCCCCCCCCCCCAAACAGGCTCTCGGCTGTCCAGGGAGTGCCCAGACAGGACTCCGCCTGCGGCTTGGGTGGGTCAGCGACACAAGTGCCTGCCGGCCTCAGGGCAGCAGCAGGCTGTGTGGCTGTTACCTGGAAGTCCTTCAGCAGGGTGCTCACAGCCACAGGCACACTGCAGCCGCCTTCCTGCAACACAGAGAGCCGGGGGGGGGGGGGGGTTAGCAACATTCAGCTCGCGCCTGCCGGCATCCCCCCGCTATTCACTAGCCCCAGCCAGCAGCTCCCCGGCCCTACCAGGCGCTTCATGAAGGCCCTCTCAGCAATGCAGCGCAGCACCGTCTCCTCGTCGTGCAGGACAGACACCATGTCTAGGATCTTCTGATCTCTGGCCCTCACTTCCACAGCTAAGGCGCCCTGCAGGGGGAAAGGCATCCAGGTGTGCCCTTCTCTGCCTCTGGTACAGCGGAGTGGCTTGTGCTGTCCTCCCACGGACCGAGAATCCCAGGGGTGGCAGATCTGGCCCCTGCATCTGGGAAGGCGGCAGCCCAGTCTGGACACAGCCGAGCAGGCACACAGCTGAAGGCGGATTTGTTGCTGGGGGCTGCAGGGAGCTGCCACCGAAACCCAACCAGAGTCCCGCCATGCAGAAGCTTCGCCTGCCAGGGCTCAACAGTTCTGGCAAGTGCTCATATTCAAAGCTACTTTTTAAATGTGCTACCTAGCCAGACAGAAGCAACTTTTCAGCGAGCTGACCTGCTTTAATTTTTGAACATCACTGCCCCAGCCAAAAGACCGACTGCTCTCTGTGACTTCCCCTCGCAAGGGAGAACTATGGGAAACTGCTGCAAGCTGCCAGATCCTCTGCACTGGCCCAGCTCCTCCGCAGCACTGGCCGCTCCCCCAAGGAGAGGGTGTTTGCTCAAGGATGCCTGCGGTGCCAGCCCGAGAGCGAGTGACGCAGGATCGGGGCCGGCTTGCCCCAGCTCGAGAGGAGGGTTCCAGCCATGCTGGGCCCAGCTTTGCACAGAGCTGGGAAGAGCAGGGAGCCCAACACGCACCTGCCCAACAGCATATAAGCAGTCCGTGGGGCTCAGGATCTGGAGAGAAGCAAGACGAGGGACATGATTAGGCAGCAAAGTCTCCCTGAAGAGCCCAAACCAGGAAGGAGCTCAGCTCAGGACCAGCCGAGGCGGCAGAGCGGCCTCCGTCCTCGGACTTGGCGGAGCCCCTGGAGGGGCACCCAGTCCACCCCCACTCACCTGGCCTATGCGGCTCTCCCAGCCCATCCGTTTCAGGCCGGCAGCAGCCAGCACAATGGCACTGAAGTCCTCCTTCTCGTCCAGCTTCTTCAAGCGAGTGTTCAGATTGCCCCTCTGAAGGAAGGCTTAAGCAAAAAGTAGACTTCCGGCCCTGAGCCCTGCCTGGATGTGCCTGGCCAGCACTAGGAGGCGCTGAGCGCCGCGACTATCAACCCCTTCCAGATGAATGGGTGTGGGTGGGGGGAACCACACTGGCTTGGAGCCCCTCCCCTGCCCTGCCCCTGCGACATGCAGCTCCCAGCCCCTCATCCTGGAAATCCCCAAGCTGCTGTAAGAGCAGGATTCAGACGCGTCTGTCCAAGGACACTACGGAACGATGAAAGGATACAATATCCCGAAATTCCAGCTGTGGGAACAGTCTCTTCAGCTGAGCCGCCCGGCGAAGTGAGCTGGTTCCGATCACACTGCGGGGGAAGCCGGAGCAGAAGCAGCTTTGAGGGGCTGCCACAAGTCTCCCCAGGCAGGCTCCAAAACGACCAGGAAGCCACCGGCCGCCCTCCCCACCCTCCAAAGAGTGGCTTTCCCGCACAAGCACCGAGACGCGCTCCTTTCTGCACCACCCACCCATCCAGGCCCGGCTCCCTGGGAGCACCTGTTCTGGTGCCCCGGTGGGCTCTTTCCGGCACAGCGGCCATGCGGAGGGCTGAGGGCCAGAGGTGGACAAGGCCCACGCCCCCTGCGCCCCGGCCAGACCAGGGGCAGCCCAGCGAGCACCAGCAGAGCAATGTTTTGTTGCAAACCGTGGACAGCACTGGGCAGCACCCGGAGGACCAGCTCACCTCTTCTCGGGGAGGCTGCTGAGGGTTTTGCCAGCGTGCCTGGGGTGGAAGACGACGGCATCGTGCGGATTCTCTCTCCTGCAAAGGACCAGGCAGGGGCCTGTCAGGAAGCGGCCCCAGGCAGCCCAGGCCTCCTCGCAGGGGTAGCTGAGGGCCCCACACCAATCAAGGACGAGCTGGGCCTCGGCAAGGCCCGGCATCCGTGGAAAAGGGGAGGTGGCCGGCTAGTTGGGGCGGCCCTGCCGGGCAGCAGAGGGGTGCGGGACTCACTTGCAGACAGCACCAATGGTGAAGCCAGGCGCCAGGGATGTGGGCAGGTCCTTCAGAGAGTGAACCACCAAGTCGACCCTGAGATCAGAGCAACGGAGCATCGGTGTGGCGACAGCATGTCGTGCCCAAGGCCACGAGTTGGCGCAGAAGCACCAAGAGAGACAGACTCTGAACCACAGCGCCCTGATTCAGACAGGTCTTTGGCCAGTACACCCCCCCTCCCTGAGCAGTTTGGAAACCAGAATGTGATTCCTTGGGATAGGCAGGGAAGCGCCCATGGGTTGATGGGGGAAGAGCAAATGTGCTGGTCTCTCCGTGCCCGCTCCCCAAAGAGCCCACTGGGCTCCTTGCCTGCAGTGCCGGGCCAGAGGAAGCAGCACTGCTCCAGCCAGGTGCCCTGGAGCTCCTGGGCAGAGGCAGGTGGTGCCGGTGCCCCAGACTTCAGCGGGGGGCCAGGGAGGGGGGCTCCCATGCACCTCCGACCTGTGACTTACTCGTTCCTCTCCAGCGCATTTTCCAGCTCCTTGGTGAAGAGACTCTTCTCCCCGATCTGAATTGGGAAAGAGAGTTACAGCCGGGCTGCCCCTCGCCTCCGCCCCACACCCCACGCCCCACGCCCGCCACGGGTGTAAAAGAGCAAAGGACGGCAACCTTCGACAGCGCTGTGTCCAGGATCTTGTCCCCAGTGGTGGACATGGCAACTGCTCGGAGAGAGAGAAATGTCTGGTGGGATCACATGGAAGCGGCATCAGTGGATCTCCCAAATGCCTCCCACACTGGGGGGGAGGAAAGGGCTGCCTGCCCCCCCCCCCGTGGCTTTCCATGGGAGGGCACTGGAAGGGCAGCCCACGCACCAAGCAGCATGCCCAGGCAGAGGAGCCAGCCCTTCCTGCCTCAAGCAGGCTGCAGATAATTGCCTCGTGCAGATTTCTGCCTACTGAGGACTTTCCCGCAGCTTCCACATCTGCTGCAGGCCGCCCCAAACGAAACCCCGCCAGGGCTTGCTCCCTCCCTCCCTCCCAGCCAGTGAGAAGGACCCGTCCCACCTGGCTTCCCTCCCCGGATGCTCACCGATCTCGAAGCAAAGGTGGGGGTGGTGCTCCTGCAGCCTCTGCACCACACTGTCCGTCTGGATCCGGGCCAGCTGCAGGTAAACAGAAGGAAGGAAGCAATGAGCTAGGCCGCCCCTGCCTCCCACCCGAGACCACTCCCCCTCAGAAACCGGGCACGCTGGCGTGCACTCGGACCAGCCAGCCACTCTCAAGGAGCCCAGCCGCTGGGCTCGAGGCTCTGCTAGTCTGGGGCAGCTCACCCGCAGATCCCCCTTCCAGCAGGTCTGCTTAAGCCCCCTGAGGCAGGCAGCACCAGAATTAGTGGGCTCGGCTCAGCCAAGGAGGCCATGGCTCCCACGGCAGGACAAGATGCACGTGCTTCCGGGGAAGGGGGATTCCAGCACAGCTGCCTGCTTCCTTCCTCCCCTGCGGGCCCACCCACTGCTGGCCCCCGTTCAGGAAGGGGCTCCTCAGGGCTCCTCAGGGCTCCTCACCAACTGCCACTGTTCCTGCAGCAGCTGCAGGAGGACAGTGGAGATTAGCTGCCTGGCGTGCAGGCGCAGCATTATCTTCTCTGCAGGCTTTGTCTTTCTGGGCGTGTTCCTTGCACCTGCTGGGGCGACGCAGCAGGAGGCCTGGCTCTGCCAAGCCTGGCTGTGCAGCCCCAGCAGTGCCGAACTCCAGCCGCTGCGCCACGATCCCCGGCGCCCCTTCACGCTCCCCCGGGCTTCCTCACGTTGCTTGTCCCCACAACACCCTGGCCGCCCGAAGGGTGCAAGCAGCCCGAGGCCAGCCAGTGCGGCCGCCAGGATCCTTCACCGAGGGCCTGTGGGCGCATGAGGCCACAGATGGTCCAGTGACAGCGGAGAAGGGCTGAGCAGCACGGGCGGCCCTCCATTAATGCAGCCATGGCTCACCCCACGACCATCAAGGGAGCCCTGCAGCTGGGGCAGGGCAAGGGCCCGCCTATTTCGGGGGCCCCCCGGGACGCTCACGGCAGGACAGCAGCAGGGTGCCGCCTCCCGCTGGTGTTCCCCAGCCGCTGGTACTGATCAACATGCGGCTGCAACCAAACTGTAACTAGCACTGGGGGAGAGCCCCCCTTCTCCAGGAAATGGTTCCACTGTCAAGCTCCTCTCACCTTTAGGTCTCCCGGAGTTCCACCAGAATCTGCCCTCCTGAAACTTACTCCCATCAAGTCTATCGTTCCCTTTCGGGCAAAGAGAGTAAGCCTTTGCCCTCTTCTAGGTGACAGCCCTTCTGTCCTCTCGAGGCTCCCCCTCTCCTCTCTGGGCTCACCATATCCCGTTCCTACAAGCTTTCCTCAGGGGGGCTGCTCTCCATGCCCCTGCCCTCCTCTGAGCCTCAGCCAAATTGCGTTACAAGGAAACAGAGAGAAAATACAACTCAACAGAAATCCATACACCGTTTTGCATGCAGTGGCGTTCGCCCCACTCCAAACTAACCAACCCAAGGAAGGCAGAGAGAAGCAGCTGGCAGGATGGGAATCGGGTGGTCTTACCTGGCTCTTCCTGGTTCCTACACGGATAGTCGAGTTTTTCAAGCCATTTTTGTCCTGCAAAGAACAGTTTACAGTTAGCTTTAAAACACAGGTTTCAGTTTACATTCTACACCATCCCCTTCCTTACCTGATTATGCAGGAGGACTACATTTGCCATCTCAACCAAGGGCCCAAGGGGTCTTTACTAGAGGAGAGAGAAAGCACTGCTGCCTGGCTGCCTCCTCCTGCCTGTGGCTGACCAAGGGAGTCTCTCCTGCAAACCAGCCCCAACCTGGGACCAGAGATAAGGAAGGGGAAGGGCCTTCCAGACAGCGAGGTGGGGGCAGAGCAAGCTGCCAGCATGGAGGGGCTGAGCCTGGAAGCAACCGTAGCTGCTGGGCCTGTTGGCAAGGAGCTGTGCGGGTTTTGCACAGAAATAAATTGTTCCAGGAAAGGCAGGCATGGGAAGGGGGCCTTCCACCGAAGCAGCTGGCAATGGGACCATTTTTGCAAGCAAACAAGGGACATTTCACCCACTTATTTGTAAAAGGGCTGGTGGAGGGAGCAGGTTGGCTTAGAGAAGCGCTCACGCTGCAACAAAGCCGGCAAGTCTCCTTTCCCAAAAGGGCACTGCACTTCTAGGGTTCTCCTTACTCCCATGCTCTGGGCGGCCTGGGCCATACACCAAAGTCTGCAGCAAAGAAATCCTTCAGCACGGCTGAGAAGAAATAGAAATTAATTTTGGCACATAAGAGCAAGGAAAAGGCTGCAGGAAGATGGAGAGAAGCACAGACGTGCAGTGCAGCAGAGGGTGGATGCCGGCATCGGAGGAAGCGCAGGAATGGGAAGGTGTAGACTGGTGACCAGCGAGAGCAGGGGTAGGACCTGATGGCCTTCTTGGCCCCTTCCAGCTCTGCTCTTCTAGGATCCGATGACTTAGGAAAACACACAGGGCACTAAATGGGACTCGGGCCTGAACTGTCAGTTGCTCTCCTTCTTCAGCACACTTCCTGGAATCTGGGGTAGGCCTGACCCCCTGCTCAGTGCAGAAGATCTAGCCTTTACATTTAGCAAGAAGAAAACATTATGGGGTACCCAGAAAGTCGATTCTATTCTTCTGATACAATTATGCAGCCACAGCGAAGAGAAAACACTTTGACAAGATAGCTATGCTGGCAAGCAGAGTTCACACAAGGGAACCAGAATGTACTCCAGCTTAGGGCTGAGAACAGTACAACTGACAGCCTTCCTTCCAAGGGACACACCTGATGTCTCTCTGCCTCGACAACTCCGACACGTCTGTAACTTGAAGCACATCAGGAAAGCCAACTCACTGCCCTTGCTGAGCCGCCCTCTAGAAGTTGAGTTAGCAGACCATTTGCCCCATTAGAAGAGAAGGCTTCAGCAGTGCTCAGGGGGCGAAGCATCAACAGGCGTCAGTGTGCGTGCACGCCAGGCAGAGGGGTGGTGCGAAAGAGAGCACCTCGCGCAGCAGAATGAAGCTGCCAACGGGCAGGACGAAGCCCTCCCTGCTGCCCCCACACCATTGCTCAGCTGGCTGTCAGCTGAGGCACTGAAGCCATCCCAAAATGTGCCACTTGGCAGGAAAAGAATATGCACACAGCCGCCCCCCCCCACCTAGATGGCGCAGGAGCAGCTTGCCACAGAACTGCAGGGCTCAGGGTGGCACACGGATGCACAACAGAGCCACCACCCACACCCCTGCCTAGGAAAGGCTGTGCCCGGCCACACAGGGCAGCCGCTCCTTCGCGCCACCCTGCCAGGGCACAGCCGAGGCACAACACGCACGGACGGGGCAGCCCTGCTCGACCAGCAGTCCAGCGGCACACGGGCCTCCCTTGTGAGGCCAGGCAGCCCGCCGCTTCTCCTGCCTCCCCAGCGCCACTAGCCCCGCACGGGGGGGGGGGGGCTTCCCGTCACAAGCCGCCCCAGAGGCTGCGCTTTTGCACAGCGTTTAAGCAGGAAGGTGGCCGTGGCACCCCCGGGCCTGCAGCCCTGAGTTCGAGTCGCGATGCATCGGGAGACTTAGCTCAGCTCCCCGCCCCGCCGATGCGTAAAGCCCCTCTTCCCCCAACGCACCGGTAGCCCGGGGCTACGGACTTCAGCTTCCATCAGCCCCACCTTGCATGGGCAATGCCAGCAGTGATAGCCCCAGGTTGTGGAAGGCTGGCTGAGAACGGCGCCGGGGAGGGTTGGAATAGCTTATTTAGTATTTTCTTAAAGCTTCTCCACGTCTCAGGGCGGGACAGCGCACTGGCCTCACGTAGGGGGCCGCTGCAAGACTGCGAGGCCGCCGCCGCCGCGCCGTCATCGCGATCACGAATCCATGAAACTGGCGCCGTCAATCGCGATGGATTATTACCGCGACCCGGCGCACCCAGGTGGCCCCAGTTCCGAGGTGGGCGAGGCAGCGGCGCCCGCCCGCCCGCCTCCCCGGAGCTCGCGCCCGCCCGCTCCAGCGCCCCCGCGGCGGCTCACCGGCTCCTCGGCGGCGGCCGGGGCCGCCGGGCCGCTCATGCTGGGCCGGAGCGCCGCGGCCAAAGTCACCGGCGCGCCGCCGCTCCACGGCCGCGAGGCCCCGCCCTTGCAACGTCACTTCCGTCCAGCGCCCCCCCTGGCGGCGGCCCGTGACGTCACCGCGGCCTGCTCCTCGCGGGAGCCTCCGGCGCCGCCGCGCTCGCCCTCCCCTGCGGAGCCGGGGCGTTCGGGCCCCGGCCGGGGACGCGCACAGCGAGGCCCGCAGCCCCGCGGCCCGGCCCGGAGCCAGGCGGGCCTCCGCCGCAGCGCCCCTGCCGACCGCGCCGAGCCCGCGGCCGCCGGGGCCTTTCCCTCGGGCCGCGCTGCAGCAGGGCGGTCTCCGGCCCGGCGCCTGCAGCCGCCCACTCCGAGGGAGAGGACCTCCGCAGCCGTGCCCATAGACGCGGCCCGCGGCTGCGCTCCCAGCTCCCGGCCAGAACCGCGAGCCCCCCCCCCCGGAAGGAGCGGCCTCACGGCTCCCCAGGCGCTCCTGCGGGGTGGGCAAGGCCGAAGGAGCAGCGGCGCCTCCTGTACCTCAATCTCCTGGGAGCAGGAAGATTTCCAGCCCCCTCGGCCGAGGAGAAATACCGAGAAGTTCGGGAGCTAGTCTGCTGCTGAGGAAGGGGCATGCGGTGATCTGCAGGACCCTGCAAGCCCGGCTTGGCTCTGCCACCTGCTGCTCTGCCTGGGCAGACCCGGGCCAGGGCTGCGCGATGCCCCTCCTCAGTCAAAGCTGGTAGAAGCACCTGCAGTCGAAGCAGCCTGAGCAGAGCTTGGACTTGCCTGCTGGCCTGGAGAGCTGGAGAAAGAGGTGGTGGGGCCTGCTTGGACAGGGGCCAGGAGATGAGCAACCAGCTCGGATGAGGACCATCCATCGTCAAGGCCAGATTCTGTCCCCCCACCCCGGAAAATAGTGAGGTGTTGGCCGAGAGCCCAGCAGCAGCTCCTCTGGGCTCCTACCACAGCGGGGAAACATAGGCAGCCTTTGAAAAAGAAAAACAAACTGTACACACATACAGGATGCCGTGTATTACTCTTCACCTTCGTTCCATGCAGTTTGTCACAAAGGGGATTAAACAACATGAAGTGAAGGGCTCCGCAAAGGATGTTTCTGTTAAACACTATTCACATTTTAAATACCTTTCCAGTTCCAGAATACTCTCACTGTAGTTCAACTCTGTACTTTTTATTAGGGCAAGAAGATGCTTATGTGCCTTCCATTCATTAGGGGTCAGGGCACGCCCTGGAACAGAAAAAGTGCTAGTAGAAGCTTTGAGCTTAGAGTCATTTTTACTGCTAAGTCTTACAGAAGCCCAACTAAGGCTTAAAGACCCAGTTTTACTGAGGACCCTTTACCAGCAGCTGGAAGTAGCAAGGCTTGGAAAAGCAGAAGGAAAAAGCCACAGCTTCCTTAAACCGTGCTGTTAAAGAGAAGGTACTTTATCCCAAACCTCAGAAGCCAGACCCAGTCTCACAGCTGTACAGATGAGCAGGACTAGAGCAATGCAAGACGTGCCCCACCTAGTCAGCCTGGAACATCTAGTGTTACACATAAGCAGCAAATGGCAGCTACGCAGCCATCTTGCTGCTTTTACTGGTCAAATTGTCCTCTGGCAGTCCTTGGCTCACGGAAGAAGTCGCTCATGTTGCACAGCTGGAAGGCCCGGGCCAAGGCAGCAGGTGAGCTGCCGGCACCTAGGTGCTCCTCTTCGTGTGTATAAGGAGGTCACGTTGTAAGCCTGCATCAAGCATTGCGGCAGATTTGCCTGGAGGAAGGTCTGTGATGAGGGTGAGTTTATTGAAAACCCCCCGGCCAAAATAATCTGCAACCACCGAGAAGCTGTCATTGGAGCGTTTCAGCTGCAGGAGGCAAAAAGAGGGTTTGTTTTAGAGGGAGCTTGGGAAGAGGGAGGGTAAATACATTTCTTCACTGATCTGAAAAGGCCATAAACCCGGCTGGAAATCCAGTCGGGCAGCAGATTCCACACCTGATGCTGAAACTGGTCGTGCAAGTCCCGCCTCTGCTCTTGGGTGCGAATCATGTCCATGACTTTGCGGTTCTCTGGCATGCACGTGGGGCACTCTGAACCACTTTCTGAGTAGCTCTCAAAGCAGTGCTGGTGGAAGGAGTGGCCGCACAGGAAGTGCACCGAGGGCAGCTCCAGGGCGCTCGTGCAGATGCTGCACTTGGTCTTCTGGAAGATCTTGGCACTAAGGAAGGGAAGCGCACAATGCAGTGCAAAGCAGGGAAGGGGCCCTCGCGGAAAGGGCCGCGGCAGCATCCACGTCTGCCGGGATTCCTGTGGTGCAACAGAGCACCAAAATGATGGCACGGGGCCACCCTCCTCCAACCCCCAGGGGGCTCCTGTGACCCGAAGCGAGGAGCAGCAGCTGTGCTCTGGCAGGCCTCGGGATGCTGGCTGCATGAGATGCCAGCAGAGGGCTTCCCAGGAGAAATGTCATCCCTCTCTAAGCATGAAGATGGGCCGGTTCTCCACACACGGCAGAGCAACGGGGAGGGCCAGAAAGTGGCACTGGGCACTGCTGTGCTCTCTCTGGAAGCCCTGCCTTGGCCATGCACTGGTGGTCTGCGCCTACCTCGTTTTGAGCTCCTCAATCTCCTTGCGGATCCGCTTGGTCTCTTCCCGGTACTTCTGGATCTTCTGTTCATCCTCTTCGATCTGGTGGCTCTGCTGCTGCAGCTTGCTGATCAGGTACTCCTTGATGACAGACAGGGTAGCGGTGGAGTTGTGGGCCAACGTCTGTACAACTGGAAAGAACGCAGCGACCCATCAGGAAAAGAGGAGGTGGGATCCGAGGAGGCTGTCCCGTAATTTGCACTGCAGTGGGTGCAAAAGCCTATGTGCACAGCACAGGCTGCAGTCCAGTCCAAGACGAGGCTCTTCTCAGTGCATGGCTCAGCCCGCCTCGGTGGCTGCCACGCCATGACAGGCAGTGACAAGATGCCGGCCGCTCTGCCCCCAGGCAGCAAGCTGGAAACCAGCTCTTGCCGTGGAGCGTCGCCGCAAGAGGCATCCCCGGGGGCCCTGCCCTGCCGGGCGCAGCTGGGGCTGGAAGGGCAGCGGCTGCCTGCCGCACGCCTCTCCCTGCTGAGAGGGGCCCGCTGCCCACTGCCCCCACGCAGGCTGGGCGCCCCTGTGCTGCGCCAGGCCCACCCTGTCCCGTACCCAGCAGGGGCGGCATGAGGTTCTTGCTCTCGATGTGCTGGAGCACCGCCGCGATGTGCTCCTTGCAGTCCTCCGCCTTGTGGGCGAAGTAGCCAAGGGCCTGTTCCCACAGGCAGGGCTCCTGGTCGCCGTACTGCTCGCAGACCTGCACCACGGTGCGGCGCTGCTCGCTCTGCATGTGGTAGTGCATGACGTGCTGGAACCTGGGCAGGGAAGGGGCGGGTGAGGGCGACTTCGGCCGAGCCCCGGCTCCAGCGACGCCCCTCCCAGCCGTGCACAGGGCACGAGTCTCCCCGAACACAAGCGGCCCCCGCCGCCTTCGGAGCGCCCAGCAGCCCCCCCACAGGCCACGCGCGCGAGGGCCGCTGCCCATCCACACTCACAGCTTGCCCTGCTCGTAGAGATACAGGACACCATCCCGGAAGTTGTGCATCTGACACAGAACCAGAGCCTTATCAAAGACACTCTGGAACTTCCCACTTTTCAGCAAGGAAATGGCCTCCTTGTGCCGCTTCTCTCTGACCTGCAAGGAATCCAGAGCAAGGGAGCATAAGCTCTGCAGGGGTGCTTCCAGACCCCAGAACGGGAGCCTCGGGGGGCCCAGAGCAGCACTGAACCACCGGCCCAGAGCTAATGGCGCTTCTCTCCCTGGCCACCACATACAAAGGGCTGGATCCACCGGGCATCTTGTCAAACAAGCCCGGCTGACTTGCAGCGGGCAACCTCGCTTGACCACGACGTAGCCAGAAGCAAGGAGTTCATGAAGACGTACCTCTGGATCCTGCTCGTGTGCCCAGTTCTGGAGACGAAGCTCCAGCAGAGTGTCGTACACGCCCTGTGGGGAATCAGGCTGCACCTCCAACATGTGCTCCAAAAAGGCCTTCAGCTCCCGCGAATTGTTGGCAAAAATGGGAATGAACTCGTCGGGATTTGCCTGTAGCACAGGAAAGGAAGAAGAGAGCCAGGCAGCAGCCAGCCTCTCGCACGCCTCATCCATCTCAGCCCCCTGCCAGTGAGCTGGTGAGGAGAGGGAATCGGGAGCGGGAGGAAGGCTCTGGGAACAACACAGGCCTGGTGTGCTCTGGCAGCGTCCTGGCTGCTCTCCCCCTCCCACTTGCCCAGAACTGCTGCTTCCCAGCATTCGTGGGCTCTGCTTCCCCACAGAATACACCCTGTGTGCGAGGCCCGCTGGCGTGGGTTTTAGCTGACGGCACGTCTCTTGCTCATTGTACAGCAACCAGCCTGCAGGTACCATTCCAAAGGGTCAATTACCACTGCACAAAACAACAGAACAATGTCGCCCATAGCCCCCGTCCCAGCATCCAGCCCATACCTTTACTCCTTCCATCACGCTGGGACCCTCACAATCCCCCACTGGGCGATAGTCCGTGCAGAGGACCTTCAGCAGCTCTGTGGTCTCATCCGGGACTTGCCGCATGAGGGTCTTGCCGTATCGTTTCATGTTGCTCTCGGCCTGCTCAAAGGGCAGCTTGCCAATGTACCGCAGGGCCTCCTGATAGTTCTGCGTGGAACAGACAGAGCAGCCCTGAGGAGGGGTCCACGGTCCTCACAAGCATGGACGCTCCTGGGCAAAACATGCAGGGCAAACCTCCAAGCAGACCGGCTTTCCATGCATCTTGGGCACAGAGGGAAGCGGCAGAGGCTGCCCGCTTTTCTCCTCCGGGACAGTAAGGCAAGTGGCTCTTCCTGGACAAATCCACCCTTTAAAAAACCTTAGGAAGCATGTGCCATCCTCCTCTTCTTCCTGTTTTGAAGCTGGATGAGCAAGCCTTGAGAGTCCCAGACTTTTCAGGAGCTAAAAGATGTTGCTAGCAGGCAAAATGGGAAAGTCGTGGAGACCTGCAAATCGCTCAGCCCCGCAAGCACCGGGCACCTTTTCTTTGGCCGTCATGTGGCTAGATCAGATTTTATTTCCTGCTGCCCAAGTTACAGACATACCAGGACTGCATTCCCCATCAGGAAAAGGTTAGAAGAGCTGCAGTGAAGAAACACGGCCACTCTTGGGATGAACTCCTACCAAGCTGGCCGTAGGAGCCACCGGGAGCCAGGCCGGCCTCACCTTGATATCTTCCAGCTGGATCTTCAGGTACCACTCGTGGTGCGCGTGCTTCTCAGCCAGGTACACAGCGTGAGAGTAGCAGCCTGCCTGGCGCAGCACCTTGATGGCGGTCTCCACGTCGAAGTGCACCTCGCTCTCGCTCGTCTGCGTGGAAGACAGCAAAGGTGGCGCTTGCACAGCCGGCCCAGGACACACAGGCCAGCCGCGCCCACGTTGACAGAGCCGCAGGCCCTCCTCTGCCAAAGCATCTGAAGCAGGATGCCCCTCCAGCCCCCCAGTGAGAGGAGAGAGGAGCACCTTCGCAGCCACAGGCACAGCCACAGAACAGTCACCTCCGAAATGGAGCTGGGAGCAGCGTGTGCTCCCCCTGCCTGGAGAAAAAGGCCTGCTTTTCCCATCCCGGGAGGGGCTGGGGCAGCAGGGAGAGAACCCAGCTGGTCTCGCTTCTTGCAAACGGAAGCCTTCGGAGGCTTCCCAGCTTCGGGACTGGAGGAAAGGACCCTCCACCAGGCAGCAGCTGAGAGGTTTTTATCTGAACTTGGGAGGCCTCCAGTCCCCTGCACAGGGAATCCGGAGAAGGCAAGAGTGAGGCTCAGGCGCGCGAGGTCCGTTACCCAACCCTTGCGCTGCTGCGGCTGCTTCGATGTCCGAAGAACTTGTACATGGCATCACAAGCCGTTCGGTGAGGACAGGCAGACCCCCTACGGCAGGACGCTGCGCCTGCCGAGCGAGCAAGGGGAGCCGGAGCACGCCGGGGCGGGAGGAGGCTCCACCCTGCCTCAGCACGCACGTGCCGCCCTCCCTCCCACCGCCCTCGCACCTTGATGAATTCCTCCAGCTTCGCGATGTCTTTCAGCTTGGTGTAGCAATTCAGCAGCAGCGTGGTGTGGTCTGTATTGGCCAGCGACTGCAGGTGCAGCATCTGCAAGTAGGCTGTCAGGTTGTGTATCCGCTGAGCGTCCAAAAACTTGCGGATTACATAGGATGGCTCTAGTTTCCCGATGGTGCTAAGAAAAGAGAAGGAGCGTGGGAATCCTGTTCCAGTTACCTGTGTTCAGCCTGCATTCCCAGCCCCACGGGGACAAGCCAACGCCTACCCACGCAACCCCGTGGCATGAGGCCCGCACCCACCGGATGTACTGCTGAATGGCACCGTCGTGGTTGCCCTTGTTGTACAAGTGATCTCCGTACTGGCGAAAGATTTCAGACAACCCGTCGCTGTCCAGGTGGTGGCTCCTGGCCAAGTTAATGGCCATTTCGAAGAGGTTCTTCTTGAAGAGCATCTGTGGGGATGGACACTTACTTATGAAGGTTCACAAGGACACGCAAGACCCTGAGCAGAAGGTTCGATCCACAGCTGCTTCCTCCCTATCCCAACAACACGGCCTTATTTCATGGCAGTGGCTCAGAGGGTTGCATCAAGATTCCTAGGGGGCAGCAGAGGTGGCTGCTCCAACCCCAGCAAGCACAGGGGGGTGAGGTGGGCTCCCTTGCCTCCAGCTTGGTTTGCGTATCCTTCTCCTGCAGCAGATGGAGCTTCCTGTCTCTCGTCACCACATACAGGCAGCCCCACTCTGCCAGCACGTCCACCACGTCATCAAAGACAGAGCTGTACGCTATGAACTTGTTGCTCAAGTCGTAGATGTTCAGGATTTGCTTGTCAGAGTTTTGTGGGTCACCCCCAGCAAATTCAGACCTGGAGCAGAGGAGTGAAACGGAGGGATGCACTTTGTCTCCAGGCTCATTCGTCTCGCCCACAGGAAGTGTCTCTGACTCCTCTTGACAGGAGAAGAATTCTGTGGGTTCTCTGGATGAAAGAACCAGGCTGGTTTTCTGCATTCCCCAGATGCAGAGACCAGATCTGCCTCTGACTTCCCTCCACAGTGGGACCAGTTGACTGGATGCTCCCCAGGCCTGGGTAGGACCACTCTGTGGCAGGGGAGTAGGAGGCATGGCCCACAGAGCCATTTGTCTCTCCCCCACCCAGGTGATTCTACATCCCTGACTTAGGTCATGATGGTGCTGAAAGCGACTGCGCCCTGTCCAGCCACGCACCCACCCATTCGGGTCTTTTATGACACCTGTATTCCAGACACCCACATGCGTTCCACCCCGCATGCTTGGCAGGCGCAGGACTCAACAGAAACCTGGAAAGCAAGACTGGCACTCACATTGCCTATGAAAGAGAAACAGGTGCCCAGGAAGAATTTCCAGGAGCCCACAAGTTCTTCTTGCTGCTTTTTTAAGGGAGAACTATCCAGTGTCAGAGACAAAGCAATTCGCCTTGCCCACTTTCCATGCCCAATCAGAAGTGGAAGACATTCAAAGAAAAATTAAACCATGTGCCAAGAAAAAAAAAAAAGCTAGTCACTCTGTCTTAAGGTGACTTACTTTGCAGAGGTCTTCCGGTCCTTGGAGACAATGACAAGGTAGCCCCGATACCAGTGGGCAATCAGCTTTTGGCCCTCAAAAGCAAAGCAGGGCCCACGTTCATCTGGCTGGTACAGATACACGCATTCATCTCCTGCCACAATGAACTGGAGGTCCTGGGAAGGGTCACTGAGCGTGGAGCACTGTAGTCCGCAGCCACGCGTGTCCAGCTTTAGCTGTGGATAATCCTTCACTGAAAGTGTGTAACACTGCAGAGCCCATGGGAAGGAAGTAACAAGTCAGCTCAGAATTTGGACAGGAAGTTGGATGAGCAAGTTAGCCTTGGTCTTCCCCCCAAGTCCAGCAAAGATCTTACCTGGATGTTCTCAGTGGTGGCTACAAACAGATGAGTTGTTTTCCCTGACTGGCGGAAAGCTAGGCCTGTAACTGGATAGCTTCCCTCATGAAGTATCTGAGTCTTACTATGCCGATCCCTTGTGATATCTCCTTTTGTAAGTACAACGCTCCCATCGGCAAAGCCTATGGAAAGGAGAGCAGAGCTCAACAACAACTTTAACTCCCTAACCAGATAGTTCATTCCTGCCAAAACTGAAGTCTGACCCACACAGGTCCATCTTATTTTGCTCTACTGGCATCTAAATGTACATGTAAGCCACATACTGACCTCTGCTTTTATCTCGACTTACCAATAGCCATGAAGTTGAGATTCTCATGGACTGTGAGGCAGGACACAACTGTTGGCTTGTTGCCTGGTATTGCGGGGAAAATCCTAGTGCAGAGGGGATTCCCACCATCACGTTTCTCTAGATTCCAGACTTTGACCTACAGTTATTATAAGACGATGGTTCAGGAAACTTTGAAGTCAGAAATAATTGCTGTTCTACAAAAAGATCTCATTCTGTCTCTTCTGACATCGTCACACTCTGGGAGAGCAGAAGGCGCTGCTCTGGAAGGTGGGGACTATGCAGAAAACCACCGTAGGGCAAGACAGTCAGCACGGGAAAGGGCCTTAACAGGCAAAAGGAATCAACAAGGCAATCTGCTCTTGCTTGCGTGATTTAGGCAACGGTTCACAAGTGCAACAATTATATGTACTCCAAATTTCTCGGTTCCTGGATTAAAGTTTTTGATGTAGAATACACATTTTAATTTGCTGGAGACCAGCAAGAGAATCTTTGGCAACCAGAAGTCTGAACTTTTTCTAGTCCTGAGATCACGGATACCTCCCTTTCTACATCCAATCTTACAAAAGCTTCTTGTCAAACAGAAGCACATAACAGAAGAGTTGGAAGGGGCCAGAAGGCCGTCACGTCCAACTTGCTGCTATTGCAGGACACTAAGTTATACCACCCCACTCAGTTGACTGTCTAGACACTTTTTGAATGTCTCCAGTGAGCCACAAATTCCCCAAGTAACAGGGGGATTTGCTCTGACAGCGAGGAAATTCTTCCTGATGTCTAGTCTAAATCTGGTCTCTTTGAACTTAAGTCTGTCATTCTGTGTCCTGCACTTTGGGATGGATGACAAGATCTTGTCCTTCCTCTTTGTGATGGCCTTTCAGGTACTTGTAGAGTGCTATCTGGATATCACCCCCGCAACCCACCCACCCACCCAGTCTTCTCTTCTGGAGGCTGAACATGCCCAGTTCTCTCAATCTTTCCTCACAGGGCTTTGCCTCCAGTCCCCAGATCATCTTTGTTGCCCTCCTCTGTGCCCTTTCTAGCTTGCCTGCATCTTTTTTAAACTTAGGTATCCAGAACTGGACACAGTACTCTAAGTAAGGTTTGACTAGTGCTGAGGATAGGGGAACTAGTACAGTACGGGTTTTGAAAGTGATTTCTTGTTCCTAAATGGAGGACTTGGCATTTGTCCCTATTGAATTTCATTGTTGTTCTCTACTCAGAGCTTTAACCTATCAAGATCACTCTGTATCTTATTCTCTGTCTTCCAGGGTATTTGCTGTTTCACCCAGCATTGTGTCATCTGCAAATTTAATTATCTTTCCATGTATTTTTCATCTAAATCATTAATAAGAGTGTTGAAAAGTACCAGTCCCAGGACAGAACCCTGTGGCACCCCACTTGTCACCTCTCCCCAGCTTGAGAATGTGCCACTGCTGAGCATTCTCCGAGTCCAATTTTGCAGGCAATTGTGGATCCACCTGATGGTTGCACTATCTAGCCTACTTTGTGTTAGTTTGGTCATCAAGGATGTTGTGGGGCACTTTGTCAACGGCTCTGCTGAGTCTAGATAGATTATGTCCACAGCATTCCAGTCGGGAGGTTACTTAGTCAAAAAATTAAATTAGAAGAACAAGGCTGGCTCCTCACCTTCCCACCCAAAACTTACCAAAGGGTTAATTCCTTCCTCATCCTCTCCGACAGAAGCCAAGATGCTGTGCTGCTTCAGTTGATAGAGGTGCGTCACTCTCAGCTTATAAGCTTGGAAACTACTGAGCTCAAGAGAGTGTGGCAGGAACCATATCTGGCCTACTATATGTAGATCTTAGTTAAGGATCCTCGACATAAAGGAACCATCAAAGAAGAGACTAAGCAGCTTGGTTGTATTTACCAACTCATCTTCCTTCCACAGTGTTGGCACCTTTAGGGGTTCCCGGATCGCCTAAGCCTGGTCTATGTGGACAGTGCTTAAGCCTGCCTGAATTGGGAGGGCCATACCTCAGGGAGGCCAGCCCTCCCTCGCATGCCCAAATCCCACGGCCGATCCTCCCGGCAACGCTGTCAAGAACATGGGGCTAAACGGGCCCCAGTCTAACTCGGCGAAAGGCCGCCCAGCAAGGGGCGGGCGCGCTCGGGAAACAGCGGGGCTCCGCTCGCGGAATCGGGTCGCGCCCGCCAGCCCAGGCGCCCCCTCGCTCCCGCCCCGCGCCCGGCCAGCTCTCCGAGGCGACCCCCGCGGGGCAGCTCCTCCGGCAGGATATCCCCGAAGACGAGGCTGCCCCTGCCCGAGTCGCAGACCGTGATGCCCGGCGGCAGCGGCTCGGGCTTCCCCTCGGACGAGGTGAGCGTCTCGCTGTCGAAGAAGGCGAAGCGCCGCCACTGCAAGTAGGCAGCCATCTTGCCAGCCCCCCCGCGGTCATGTGACCACGGCGCTGCCGCCCCGCGCCAGCCGCGCCGCCATTCCGCCTAGAAGCGCGGCCGCGGCCGGGCACGGTAGTCCGCCAGGTGCGGCGCCGTTCGGAGCATGCGCGCAACGCGTCACGGGAGGCTCGCGCAAGCCGCAGGCCGCTACGTCACGAAGGCGCGCGTCGCCCAGGCTGCCGGGCAGGAGGGGCGGACTTTGCACGCGCTCAGAGGAGCTCGCGTTGCCCCGAAGGGCGGTCGCTCCGCGAGGCCCGCCCCCTTCGCTCTCCCGCAGCCAATGGCGTTCCCGCCTCACCCGGCGCCGTCGACGTGGCCCAATGCGGAGCGCGCGGGGCCGGCGCAGCTGGCGGGCGCTCCAATGGGCGGGTGCCGCGTCCTGGCCGGAGCCGCCGCGGAAGGAGGTTCAGCAGCGCCAGCCCGGCCGGCAAACGGACAGGAAGGTTGCTAGGCTCCGTCTGCCTAGGCCGGCCACCCCGAGCGCGCCCGCCGAGCGCCGCCTCCGGTCGCGCGCCCGCCCCGGCTCCCCTCCCGGCCGCTCCTTCGGCGAGCGCTGCCCTCCGTTCGCGGCCGCTGCCTTTCCGGCTGGGCCGGGCCGAGCCGCGGCGCCCCAGCCCGGCGGCGGCGGCGGCGGCGGACACGAGCTGAGCTGACCGTGCTCCTGGCGCCCGGGCCGGCTCCCTCTGCTCTCTGACGCAGGCTCCGCAAGGGAAGGGAAGGAAGGCCGGGGCGCCGCGGACCGGCCGAAGCGAAGCCTGCCCATCATCCGTCCCTGCCTGCCTGCCTGCCCTCTCCGGCCAGCGCGATGGCGCCGCCGCCCTTGTGGCCCCTGCTGCCCTTGGCGCTGCTGGCCAGCCTGCCCGCCTACTCGGGTGAGTCCGGGGCGACCCGCGTGGAAGACGAGCTCGGGCCGGGCCTCCGCCGGGGCCGTTGCGGGGGAGGCGGAGCCGGCGCCCCGCAGTGCGGGGCCTGCGGCGTCTGGCTCGCGCGTTCCTGCCCTCGGGACGGCCGGGGGCGCCCGGGGACTTCGGTGCCCCCTGCAGAGATGGGTCGGGGGGCCGGACTCGAGCAGGGCTCGGCCCGAGGTTCGTTGAGACCCGGGAAGGCAGCTCGGAGCGTGGCTTGCTGGGCCGGCGCGGGCAGGGGAGCAGCCTGCCAGCGGGAAGGCAGGACCACCTCTCCGGGCGGGCCGCGGGCTGCTCTCAGTGGAGCCCGGGCGAGAGACCACGTCTGGCTGAACCGAACTGGGGTTATAGTGATGCTGCTGACAAGGAAGCCAGCCGAGAGCCGTTGCGTGCTGGTGCTTGATCTTGTGAGGGCAGAGGGTAGAGCTTGAAAGGCTGAAGAGCTGTTTTGTCTCCTGCGGTGTTTCGTGTTCCAGCTGTAAAGCTGCATGCCAGTCTGGGGCTTAGGGGCAAAGAGAGTGTCACTTGGGGATTACAACGGTACTCTAACTTAAGTTCTAGTCTTTTCCATGGGCCTTTCAAACATATGACCGTCTCTTGTCTTTGCAAGCCTCAGGCTGGCTTTTTCATGGTTCTGGACTATTCAGAGCTATACAGGAATAAGCAAAAAGAAAAGCAGATGTTTTGGACTTGAAGCCCCCGCCAGTATGGCTAATGGTCAGGAATGCTGAGAGTTAACGTCCAAGACATTTGCAAGTCTGTTTTCTGCCTGCTGCTTCTATAAATGGATTCAGCTATATCAGATACAATGTTTGAACTGAGCAATACTTCAGAGAAGTTTTCATTCAACTTCTCTGTGAAGAAGCTGTAGTTCTTTTTGTGAATTCAGACAGTCAAATTTTATCTAGGCCTTTATACTTTCTAAGCTAGTCTACTGCAAAGTACTTGATTCTGAGAGGATGAAATTCTTGAAAGTGTCAAAAGATACCCTCTAGCACAGGCCCGGGGAGGCTGTTGAATCACTGGGGGATGTTCGCCATTGTTACTGCAGTGCCTCCACCAGCCCCGTTGCCTTTCAGGCACAACCCAAAACTCTGTGTTGGAAAATCTTAGGTGCGTGTGCCCAGCATGTCTTAGCGGTTGTTACCTCCAAGGCTTGGCTGGGCTGTCAGTGCCGCATGTCCAGATCCGGAGAGGGCACAGAAGGACCACGTGGAACTGCTTTTGAAGGCCTTGGAAATGGCACTTAGTGCACTTCCTGCGGCTGTTGGGTGACTCCCTGACGGAGCATCAGGATCCTGTCGTGCTGCACGATGATGACTCCGTGGCCTCTTCGAATCTGTGGTCTTGCCCTTCTCCAGAACAAAGGGTGCAGGCTCCCCGCATGGGGTACCTGAGCATGACATGCTTCGGGGGAGGACCGTAGCCGTGTGCCCTTGCCACCTGAGGTGGGACTGGAGGGAGGGCTCCCCAGGGATGAAATCCCAGCTTTCTGAATGAGCTTGCCTTGTGCTCCCTTTTTTGTCCCCCCCCCCCCGCATTAGGGCAAAGTCATCTTTACTCCCTCGAGCTTAGTAGGTGCCATCTTAATCTAGCAGAATTTTATGGGGCTTTTATAATTTTGGGGCTTTTGAATTAATTTAGGTTTTGCAGCAATATGTTAGTTTTGCTCTTTTATGTAAATTGCCCTAGAATAGGGTTGAAGGGGAATGTAAAGCTACAAATAACAAGCGCAAGTGTAAAGAAGTGTTTTTGATGTTGTCAAACCAACAGGATGCCTGTGAAAATTCCTTCCTGTGGAGTGTTTCAAATTTACCATGAAACATCCGTGCTTAGAGCAGCTCTTAGTGATTGTGGCCAAGCCGATCCATGGGAGTAATTTTAGTATTGGGCATGCATAATTGGTTTTATGGTGGCTTTGGGATGTTGGCTTGGCCCTAAATAAATAAAGCTTGGATGTATAAATTAGTAAAATGTATATTACATTATTTATGGATTTTTGTCTATACTGCTTGGAGGCTTTACTATATTAAGCAACAAATGAGCATTATAAATTAATAAAAGCAGAAGATATTCTGGTTGATGGAGCCATGTGGCCTAATCATGCATAGCAGAAGTTTATGTGAAGCTGAAGCTTGAAACACAATATGAATGGGAGAAAAGGAGGGAGGGCACCTCTTGGTATTACTTAGCTCTGAGGTTCTTGCTGGCGCTGAGCACACCTGACTCAATGCTTTCGTACCACAGATTCCCTAGCAGTGATGTCTGTTGACCTGGGCAGTGAATCCATGAAAATAGCAATTGTCAAGCCTGGGGTGCCCATGGAAATTGTCTTAAACAGGTGAGTGAGTTGGTTGGCAGCAACCATTCCTTGAAGGGCTGGCACAGTTTCGTAGCCCAGAAAACAACCGGGGAGGCAGAATTCCAAACACCAAAATAATAGCTTTAACCTTGGTGGCTGCAAAGAAAGGGAAATATCCACGTTTCAGCTCCTACTTCAGTATGTAACTGCATTACTGTGTAATATCAGCCCGTAACTTGTAGAACAGGAAGAGGTCCAGGATCACAGTCATCTGCTTGCAATCAGAGAGATGATGTGAGTGTTTGAGATAGAGGAGGACATTCAACGGAGACTCAGATGTGTCCCTTTTCTGTTGCTTTATGTTGGGAAAGGGACTTTGTGGCCAGCAGCCTAATTTCAGGGAGCCAGACCAGCATCCAGCCCCGGGCAACGCAGGCCGCTCTTCAGGCTGCATGCTGCAGATCCCTTTCGCACCGGTGCTCCATCTCCAGGCATAGCTCAGAAAGCTGGAAACTCTGTCCACTTGGGGCTTCCCCCTGCCGCCCTCAGCAGCAGGCCCCCAGCAGACCTGCCTCTGGGTCTGCGTCCCTCTGCAGGGAAAGGTCTCCTCAGACCCTTGTGGCAAGTTCTGGACCAGAAGACCATTCCGAGTCTGTCCAGTTGACAGTAATCGCTGGGAAGGGAGCACAGTTCAGTGGCAGCGTTCCTGGAGGCCCTCAGTTCTGCTCCTGCCAGCGGAAGCCGTTTCCCCTGCACAGCCCTGCTTGTCTAAGCAGGCAGCCCTGGGCTAGGTGGACCCGTGGCCTGGCCTGCTAGGAGATGGCTTCCTGAGCTCCTCTCCTGTCTTGCTCCAGGGAATCCCGGAGGAAAACCCCGGTGGCCGTGGTCCTGAAGGAGAACGAGCGCCTCTTCGGAGACAGTGCTTTGGGAATGGTGAGCCCTCAAGCGCCATTTCTGGCCTCCAGAGCTCTTACCCGAGTGCTGTGAGGGTGCGGTTTCTGCTCCTCTTCCCCTTTTCCTGAGTTGCAGCTTGCGCAGCGTGTGACTTCCCCCTGAGAGGGGTGGGGGGCACACTCCCAGGTGCTGCTCAGGCCCTCGGCAGCCCTCTGGCCTTTGCATACAAAAATGCTCAATGCTGCTCTGCTTGGTGCCTAAATATTGTTAAATGATTCAGTTCTTGAGAGTTGATACGTGTATCTTGACAGCGAGAGCACGCTACCTGCTGCTCAGGAATCGGAATTGCCTGTTACCACGCTTCTGTTCCGCAGGCTATCAAGAACCCGAAGGTCGCCTTCCGGTACTTCCAGGACCTTCTGGGCAAGCGCATTGACAACCCGCAAGTGGCACTGTATCAGTCACGGTTCCCAGAGCATGAGCTTGGGAAAGACCCGAGAAGAGAGACGGTCGTCTTCAAGCTGTCAGAGTGAGTGGCTGCCGTCCCGTTTGCCATGTGGCGCTGCTGAACAACGGGTGCGGGGGCATCTTCTTGCATGTCTCCCGGAGAGCAGCTGCAGGGACCTGGTGGGTCAGCTGGTATTGGCGAGTGTGCCTCTGGCACCACCATGTGCCAGGGATGGTAGCTGCTCCTGCCCGGAGGAGGGGTGGGGAGACAAGGTCCGGTTTCATTCCTCCCGCCAGGCAGTCCTTCCGGCAGGGAACGGTCGTGCGGGTTCCCAGGCAGCCGCGGGTGGCGTTGCTTTTGGTGAGGGGCACCTCGCTGCTCAAGGCCCCCTTCGAAGGCGGCCGTTCCTTCAGAGCTGCTGTTCAGGGCCAGCCAGCAGTCCCTCTGGAGAGGCCGTCGAGGGGTCAGGGATGCAGGAGCTTACCCTCCCCGTTCTCCTTTGCAGCCAATTGCAGTATTCCCCAGAAGAGCTCCTGGGCATGGTCCTGAACCACTCTCGGGCGCTGGCGGAGGACTTTGCAGGTTGGGATGCGACGCTGCTGAGGGGGGAGCAGTGCTGTGACGTATGAGGCAGGGCTAGCGGGGGAGTGCAGGGGGGAATGCTGGGACCGCTTCTGCCTCGCACAGCCATGAGGGAGAATGGACAGCTGCACAAGCAGGAGCAAACTTCCCGCCTTCTTCCCGCCTTGCAGAGCAGCCCATCAAGGATGCGGTGATCTCTGTCCCTGCCTACTTCAACCAGGCGGAAAGGAGAGCCGTCCTGCATGCAGCAAAAATGGCAGATCTCAAGGTCCTGCAGCTCATCAATGACAACACGGCCGTGGCCTTGAACTACGGGGTCTTCCGGAGGAAGGACATCAATGCCACAGCCCAGGTGCCTGTGTCCATGGGGGCAGGCGGCTCGGAGGGCCGGACAGCACAGGCCCGTGCTTGGGCTTTTCCCTCGGGCCCCTTGTACTCCTGCCATCCCCGCTCAAATGCAGCTGAGGTTTGGGCTGGCTGCTCGCGCTCTGTCTCTCGCAAATGAGAGCTCTGCCTGGATCCGTGCAGTCGTGTGTCGACGTGAGTGACTCCGAGGAGCCCAGAGGCCTGGCTTCAGTGTCGCTTCAGCGCGAGCACCTTGTGCGAGGCTGTACCTCTGAGGCCCACCACACGCCACGTGCCAATGCGGCCCCCAGTGTCTGCAGTGAAAAGGCTCAGGCAGATGGCCTTTGCTCTGCTTCCAGTGCTGCTGCTGCTTGGAGCAGCCCGTTCCGGGTGAAACGCACCAGTGGCCTCACCTGGGACAGGGCTGTGCACGTGCCCGCATTTGACGTGGGGAGAGCGCAGGCCTCCCCCAGCCACGTGCATGCCATGCTCCAGGTGGTGGCGACCCCCTTCTGCCACTTCCTGCCTGTTTCACGCCTCGGTTCTTTATTCCCAGAACATCATGTTCTACGACATGGGAGCAGGCAGCACCGTGTGCACCATTGTGACGTACCAGACGCTGAAAACCAAGGACTCGGGGACCCAGCCTCAGTTGCAGATCCGGGGTGTTGGGTAAGAGATCGTTCCTGGGCATTATACCTCTGGCTTGCCAGGAAGACGATCGGGAGAGCGGGATGTGTTAATAGAGCTTCCATTAGCCCACGCTGGGGGAGGCCTGAGTGGGAGACCCAAGAGTTGGCAGGCAGGAGCCAGAGGAAGAGTTCGCAGGCCTGTTTGGACGTGGAGTTGAGCTGAGGACCTGCCTTATCTCCCTGCTGCTTCGCTTAGGTTTGATCGTACTTTGGGAGGCCTGGAGATGGAGCTGCGCCTTCGAGACCATCTGGCCAAGCTCTTCAATGAGCAATATCCCTCAAAGGATGTCCGGAAAAACCTCCGGTCTATGGCTAAGCTGCTGAAGGAAGCCAATCGTCTGAAAACGGTGCTGAGTGCCAACGCTGACCACATGGCCCAGGTGGGCTGCGTGCAGGAGAGGCCCGCCTGCGTTGGGGCGTAGTCGGCTGCCCTCTTGAGCTGCTGGCCTGTGCGTTTCTTGGGCCCGCTCTGGAGAAAATAGGAGACGAGGCAGTGGCATTCGCCGTCGTCTCCTCCCCTCACCAGCTCTTGGGGCACTGGGGGTAAGGAGCATGGCAGAGGGGTGCTCACGGCTTCTCTCCTTCCCCAGATCGAGGGCTTGTTGGATGACATTGACTTCAAGGCCAAGATTTCACGGCAGGAGTTTGAGGACCTGTGCTCCGACCTGTTCCAGAGGGTTGCTGGGCCCGTGTGGCAGGCGCTTAGCAGTGCCGAGATCGGTCTGGTAAGTGAGGAAGGGCGCTCTGGGCAGAGAGCGTGAGCAGCCCACTGAAGGCGGGCAAGGGGGGCAGTCTCGGCCTAAGCTCCGAGAGACAGATCCCCCTCTCTCTCTGATTCCCAGAACGAAATCGATCAGGTGATCCTAGTTGGTGGTTCCACGCGTGTGCCAAAGGTACAGGAGCTTCTGCTGAAAGTAGTTGGCAAGTAAGTGCCAGGTCAGCCTCAAGTGCTCCTCCCCACCGCTGCTGCTCCTGGTACTAAACTCTTCCTCTTACCACCCCCAGGGAAGAACTGGGCAAGAACATCAATGCAGACGAAGCCGCTGCAATGGGCGCCGTCTACCAGGCCGCTGCCCTGAGCAAGGCCTTCAAGGTGAAGCCGTTTGTCGTCCGGGATGCAGCCGTCTTCCCCATCCAGGTGAGCCGCAGTTCGGGCGAGGGACGTGTGGCGGAGCGGCTGTGAAGGCCCCAGTGGGGGAACAGGCCCGCCTGGCGATCCTCTCCGAAGCCACCGAAGAGACACTTCTCCTGTATTTCTCAACAAAAAGACACCTGAAGACCGGGGGGTGGCTGTCCAGTTTGAGGGGTCTGCAACCTACAGTCTGTGCTTTCCTCTCCCCCATCCCCAGGTTGAGTTCACCCGTGAGGTGGAAGAGGAGGACAAATCCAAGAGTCTGAAGCACAACCGTCGGATTCTGTTCCAGCGAATGGCTCCGTATCCGCAGCGCAAGGTCATCACCTTCAACCGCTACACGGATGACTTTGAGTTCCATGTCAACTATGCAGATTTGGGCTTCCTGAGTGACAGTGACTTGCAGTGAGTCCATGGAGCCAGTCTCTCTCTGCCTCTGCCCCCCTCCCCATTCTCCCTCTTTGTCTCTCTGGAGGGGGGTGAGAAGCCAACTGTTGCTTTTGTGTCGGTTTTTGCAGGGCTTTTGGGTCCTTGAACCTCACCCGGGTGAGGCTGCACGGTGTGGGCGAGAGCTTCAGGAAGAACGTGGACTACGAGTCGAAAGGCATCAAGGCTCATTTCAATATGGACGAAAGTGGTGTCCTGAGCTTGGATCGTGTAGGTACCTCCCTTGCTGCACCGCGGCTCCCACCATGGGGCCCTCTTCTCCATGCTCACGGTGCTCTGTGTCAACTTGCAGGTAGAATCTGTGTTTGAGACGTTGATTGAAGACAAGCCCGAGGAGGAATCCACGCTAACAAGTGAGTTCTTCAGGTTGCCGCAGCGGCAACACAACCTCTGCCCCCCACAGCCGCCAGTCTTACGCCAGTGAACCGCCTCGCTGTCCTCAGCATTGGCCTGAGCGGAAGCAGGTGGGACAGGCGCCCTCTGCATGCTTTTGGCCCTGAGCAGTTCCAGCAAGCTGCAGCTGCCAAGACTGGTTCCCCCATCAGTGCCGGACTCCTTTGACATGCAGCAGAGGCACTACTGTGTCCAAGCCAGAATTTTGCCACATGCAAATCATAGAAATTCTCATTAGATGTGTGAGCCTTGAGAAGGGCTGTGGCCCTTCCATCTTTTGGGCAAAGGTGGACTCAACTACTTGCCCCCAGCACCTGTGCTAAGACAAGAAGGCCGTTTTGGGGGGGATAGTTTGGGTAGTGGGCAGGACTGGGGGTTTGTATGCATGAAGCAGGAACTTCTCTGAGGCATGTTGCATCTTTCGAGCAGAGCTTGGAAACACCATCTCCAGTCTCTTCGGAGGAGGCAGCCCTGTCCCCGAAGCGCCGGAAAATATGACGGAGACCGTTCAGGTGAGCTCTTTGCTGGCCAAAGGCCGGCCACGAGCCGGATGCAAGGCATGCGCCTAATGCAAAAGGGATACAGGTATGACAGAAGGATGAAGGAAGATGCTGTCTTTGGCTCTAGGCTCTGTGCCTTTGGCTAAGATGGTAACGTGTGGAGCCAGGCCTTGGGCTGGGCCTGCTGGGCCCCTCCAGCATCCCGGCTGAAAACCCCCCAGCAGTGCAATTTGGGCATTTCCCTTACTTGCTGCCCAGGAGGAAGAGGAGAGCCAAGCAGAACCAGGCAAGGAAGACCAGAAGGACGACGCGGGGGCGACTAGTGCGGAGGATGAAAAGGAGCCATCGCCGCCTCCAGCGCAAGACAAATTTGCTGGAGGCGCTTCTGCGGCAGAGGAGCAGCAGGAGGAGGGAGCAGAGAAGCCCACCTCTCAGGTGAGCGAGTAGCACAGCTCCCTCCCTGTAAGGTGTCCTTCCTTCACCCACCAGGGCACCGTGGGGAAGGCCCTCTGCTGGTGGGACAAGTGGAGACGGCTCCTCCCTCCCAGTTTTCTGAGCCACCAAAATCCTCGCCTGCTCGCTGGAGGGGTGGAAGACTCGCTTTTGGATTCCGATCCCTTTGGTAGTGCGAGGAAATTTCTCTGAAGAGCTGCGTTTTCCTTGCATTTAGCCCTTTTAGATGATGGGTCTGCTTTAATACTTACATCATCATCTTCATCAAAGTTTCTGTACCACCTCATCGCCTAAGCTCTCTGGGCAGTTCATAGCAACAAATTAATTAAATAATTAAATAAATAAATATTTTAAGTTTTGCTACACCATTATTCATTAAAAGTCTCATGATGGTTTACAAAAAGTGCAGCTCGAGTGCCATAAACTCCTCCTCCTCCTCCTCCTCCTCCTCCTCCTCCTGCCTTCCTCTGAGAACTGCTGATGACCCTCCCTCTGGGGAAAATGCTTGGCTAAGAAGGCTGACCTAGAGAGACTTGGGCTCAGACTGAGCTGCACGGCTGTTCCGATGTTCTTAAAGACAAAGGGAGAGGCACTGCTGGCCGCTTCCCTGCAGCTCTTGCTTCCTCCAGAGCTGTATCAGCACCCAGCCTAACTAGCTTCCTGAAACGGGGGCTCAGGCTAAAGGCAAAGCGGGTCTGTCAAGTTCTTGTTCTTCTTTGCACCTGAAAACAGTTCTTTTTGTCCCGGACTGCATCTAGGAAGCCCAAGAGAAGTCAGGGAGTGGGAAGCAGGAGGGGCCTGCAAAGAGCCCCGAGGGGAACAGTGGCAAAGCAGCAGCTGAGGAAGAGGAGGAGAAAAAGCCAAAGCCTCCCAAGAAGCAGAAGCTGGTGGAGGAGATCACGGTGGGCCTGGATGTGAACGACGTGCCCGACTTGCTTCCAGAAGAGTTGCAGGGCTCCATCAAGAAGTAGGCCTGGGTGCTGCTGCTCGTGGGGCGGAGGGAGGTGGGTGGGAGCGCCTGCAGCACAGAGACGCTCTCCTTCCGGGCAGGCGGTGACCTGTCTGCCCTTTTCCAACATCAGGTTGCAGGATTTGACTGAAAGGGACCTTGAGAAGCAGGAGAGGGAGAAATCGGCCAACAGCCTGGAAGCCTTCGTCTTTGAGACCCAGGTAGGAGGCGAAAGCAAGAGTTAGAGACGGCTCTTGCCAACCCCGGCTCCGGGAAATCTTTGAGTAGCCTCATTTCTGCCGCTTGGTGATCACGTCTCCCCTGATCCGGAGAGCCATACTTAGCATTGTAAAAGAATGCAAAGTAAGTAGGCAAGATTACGGTACTTTCCTTGGCCAAGTTCCTGCAACCAGGAAGAGCAAACAGGGCCAGGCTGCTGTTCATCGACAGTTCCTGGCGTGTCGATTTCCACTTGAGAGCAGTGGCTTTGTTTTTCATTCACCAGGACAAGCTGTATCAGGAGGAGTATCAGTTTGTGTCAACTGAGGAAGAGAGAGAGGAAATCTCCAAAAAACTGAGTGAAGTTTCCAGCTGGATGGAAGAAGATGGTTATACAGCCACTACTAAGGTTGGAACCTTATGGGTCTCCTGTTCTGAATCTTTCAGTGCTTCAAATAGGGCCTCAGGATTCACAGCGTGTTCCTCACACAGGTTGTCCTGATTGTAAAAGTGACATTTCCTTGCCAGTGGGTTTGGAAATTGTAGATAAAGCGAGCAGTTGTCAGGTACTGGGGAATGAAAGTAATTTGTCCTAGCTCATCGGGACGGCCTGGAACGTGACGCTTTGGCACATCCGCCCTCCTGGCACCCAGCCGGCGCCACCTTTCGCTTCTTTGTGGACGTGCTTCCTTCTCAGTGGGGCGAGCAGGCGGGCTGCCCTCAGCCTTGGTGCACTGACACAAGCCTGGCTGTCACCGCCGCGTTCATCGAGCCTCTGTGGGCATCCTGCCTTTGAGCAAACGAGTCCCCGTGTACAGCGTGGGCCTTCATCCCATCAGTAAGCTCTGCATCCTGAGGTGTGTGCCATGTATTTCCCAGTACTTTTAATTCCTGCAGGACTTGAAGGAGAGACTAGCTGAACTGAAGAAACTGTGCCGGAGCCTCTTCTTCCGTGTGGAGGAGAGAAGGAAGTGGCCAGACCGCCTGGCTGCCCTGGAGAGCTTGCTCAATCACTCCAGCATCTTCCTCAGGTATGAATGACCGAGCCCTGTTCAGGAGAGAGGCTGGGGCTTGCACGGATGTGACTGGAAGGTTGTCTGGCTCGGCTTTTCCTGTCAGGAACAGTATTTTGCAGTAGCCTTAAATATCGATTTGCTCCCCCTGCTGCCTTGCACGGCGTTTCGTGTTTTGTGCAAAATGCAGCGTAGCTCCATGTCTGTGTCGCCAGCTCCGAAAGGAGAATTCAGGGCCTGGGGTCAAGCACTGTTGGGTCAAGCATCCCAGCACCTCCGGCCACTGGAAGACACCCCACTTCACAACTGCCTGTCCCACAGTCGCATTTTGTTGTCAGACCGCCAGTATAGTAATTAGCATCTTATTATGGCTCGAGATATATATAAAAAGGATTCTTTACAAGTCCATCAAATCTGTATTTGGTCTGAGGCCACCAAAGGTGGTGCCCTGCCCTAGATATCTGTCCAGTGTCCAGACCTGACAACCCCCGAGAACAGCTAAACTGAAGAGGCACGTCAGGCAGCCATCACTTCCAGAGCTTGAGCACAGGAGCAAGTCAGCGTTCAGTCAGATGCAAGCATTGCTGTGGAGCATGAGGGAACGGGAGTTTGTTCGCTTGTTTCAGGGGAGCGCGGATGATCCCCGACGCTGATCAGATATTCACGGAGGTGGAGCTCAGCACCCTGGAAAAGGCTATAAATGAGACAGCGGTAAGATGAGTTGCGAGGGCTGCAGGGACCACAAGAGCTGCCGGCAGGGCCTCTTCGTGCCCTGGCGACTGGTCTTCAGCGGCACATGGCAGCTGGCCTGGAAGTCGGAATGCAGCCCACGTGCCCAGCGGCATGATGTCCCCGTCACCCACGAATTTCCCCCTTCCCCCTTCCGCAAGCGCAGTGGGGGAACTGCCCAGGTGGATTGTGTGCTGCACAAAGGACTCGCTGCCTTCTGTCCAGAGCTTCTGGTGGCCCCGGGGTCTAGAATTAGGAGTGAGCGAGAACGTCTCGCTTAAATTGGGTTCCCCAGCAACTCTGTCAGCCTAAGGGGGGTGCTGCTTTCAGCAACTGCGATCCACAGCGCAGTGGGATCTGTCCCCACGGCTCCCCGTCAGCAGTAATGCCCTGCCTGGCCTTGTCTGGCTTTGCAGCTGTGGAAGAACGAGACGGTGGCAGAGCAGAACAAGCTGCCGCCCACCGAGAAGCCGGCCCTGCTGTCCAGAGACATCGAGCTGAGGATCGCAGCCCTGGACAGGGAGGTGCAGTACCTCCTCAACAAGGCCAAGTTTGCCAAGCCCCGGCCCAGGCCCAGCACCACCAAGGCAGGCGCGGACAAGAACACGACTGTGCCTCCCGAGGGCGACAAGGTCCCTCCTCCCGAGGAGGGGACACAAGAAGGTGAGCAGGTCCCATGGCGACTGTGGGCCGGCTTACAAAGGCTTTCCTCCCGGTTCTTTCAGGCACGGAAGCCCTGAAGCCCACTTGGCTCGAAGGAGCATTTTCACTCTTGGCTTCTGGGCTGGCTTTTCTGCTGGTTGTGCAGCAAGAGGAAAGGGGAACGGCTGGCACAGAGTTCCCTTGGATCTCTTTGGGACAGCATTCGGCCTCCAGTCCATCCCCAGGGGAATTCCCACTGTTTCCTCTGGCCACAGCTCGGAATTGGCAGCTGGGAGGCAGGCAGTGGGCCGCTGGGCAGTGCCAGGAGGAGCCGCTGCGTCCAGCACTGGCCAGGCCCATTCATGCCCCACACCGGGCGTCAGTGGGGACTCGGCCAGCATGGGGAGGAGCTGTTTCTTCCAGCACACCGAGTCCTTTCTCCATGCCTCTCGGCACGGGGCAAAGCAAGATGCGGGGCATGGGTGCGCTCGCACCCACCAGCATCCTCCAACCCACCGGGGGCCCGCCCAGAGCGCTGTGACCCCCACCTCCCACATGAGCCTCACCCCTTGATTTGTGATGCTCGGCTCTAGCTGGGGGGACCAGGGTTGCAACTGGCCGTGGTGCCTGTCGCAGGACAGCTGCTGTTCCACACCATGAGAGTGCCGAGTATTGTTTTCATGAGCCGTATTTCTCACCTGCAACTAAGGATGTCCCCCTTCCTCCTAGAAGCAGATAAAGTAGACGACGCCAGTCCAGCCGAAGAACCGCCTACAGAGGAAGCCCCACGGAGTGACGCAGGGGGACCAGACACAGGTAAGGGAACGGGCAGTCCAGCGGCTGTTCGGTGGACTCGTTCCTCAGTCCCTGCCTTGTGACAGCACCCCGCCACCTCATCTGCCACTTGTGGGGAACGTAAGCAGGAAGGCGCTACTCCTCTCCTGCTCGTGCACTTCCCAGAGGTGCCTCATGCCGGAGACTCTGATGCAGCAGGCCTCCTCCACTGTTCCTAGCACTCAGACGTTCTATTCAATGGCCTGCAAGAACCTCCCTCAGCACTGGGGTCCCTGTGTCCAGAAGGCACTGGAACCAAAGTCCTGCATGTAGAGGTGGAAAGAGCTGGGCATATTTAGCCTGTTATTAAAAGCTTTTCTATCCCGTCCCCTACAAACATCTCGGGATGGCTTACAATAGATAAGTAGAATGAAACAAAAAAATCCCAACTTCAGAAGATAGAATGGAGCAATATATAAAAGAAAGCACACCTTGAAAAAATCACATCCGATCACAGGAAAATACTGAATGATACTATTCAAGGATTATCACAAGCTATTAGAACATTTTAAAAATTAAAGCACCAGGCTGGATGGATTTGATACAACATACTATAAATATTTAGAAGAAAAATTAATATTACCACTCCAGCAAGTAATTAGAATAAAGAAATTATTACAACTGGCATGGCAGGTAGCCATATTAACACTGATATGCAAAGAAGGCAATGATGGATTACCTTGCCACATTCTAATTGACCTAATGGCAGAAAAACTAAGAAAATGAATAGAAAGGCAGATTCATTTAGTTCAGGCTGGATTTGTCCATTACTCTACAAGTCCTTGGAAGGCTGCCGCGAGGAGGAAGGCCAGGATCTGCTCTTGGTCATCCCAGAGCGCAGGACACGGGATAACGTGTCCAGGGACAGCAAGCCGGATTCCAGGAGATACTGGGAAGAACTTCCTGACTGCTAGGGCAGCATGACAGTGGGGCCGATGGCCGCGGGAGGTGGCGGGCTCTTCCGCTCTGGAGGCAGTCAAGATGCAACTGGACAGGCCTCTGAAGAGGATGGCTTAACTGGGAGTCCTGCACTGAGCAGCGGGGTTGGACCTGATGGTGTTTCTGCTTTCAAAACATTTCCTGTGATATCTGGGTATTTTGATTTGAAAAGTCATCCTGTGTGCTGTACATTTAACTCTTTTTATTCTTACCTTGTTGCTTTTTGTCTTTATTGCAGATTCACAAACAGATAAGAAGTCTGAAACAAAGGAAGACACCAGAGCCAATGACGAATTATAACAGTTTCTCAGATCCTCTTGTGCATCAACATCTATTTATTTACAGTCAAATCCATTGTTTTTGTAATGGACCTGGTTAGTGGAACATGGCACAAACTGACAACAGAACGCAGTAGGTGTTTGTTTCTTTCCTGCTGGAATTGTCCTTGCTGATTTTGTGTGTTGTCCTGCCTCCTTACTTCCTTTGTTTAAAGATGACTTTCAGCTCACTGGAAACTCCTATTCTTGACACCACCCTGCATGGAATTGCCGCTTTCAACTGGCAGATTCAATCTACCTACAACTGTTCTAGGAAAAGACACTTGGTACAAGTGTACTGGGCTATGCCTTAACTTGTGAAGAGCAGTGTATGTTTTGGTGTCTGCAACTTACAGTGTCTGCAAGTATTCTCCCTGTGAATGGAAGTAACAAATTGGAATCTTCTGCTTCAGCCTCAGAATGTTCTAATTATGGTGCATGGACAAGGCCTGGATGAGCAGTTCTTTTAATGTCATTAGCATGGGGCCACTGATGTTAGTTCTTTGTTTCTGAGCCACTGCACAACAGGAACTGATGGAATAGAAGCAAAATTTGAAGGAAGCAAATAATAGTCAAAAGGAAAACAGAAATACTTGGACTGATAGTCACAGTCCATCCCAAAAAGCAGGCCCTTGGTATCTAAACAGCAGGTGTGCCCATTGGCAAGGCAATTCAGAAGACTGGTGTATACATCTCAACTTTCTCTCAACTGTTACTGACTTTGCAGAACACACCTAAAACACACTTTTAAAGGGCCATGAAACAGCCAAAAGGAGAAATGATCTGTCCGGCCAAAATTAGGTTTACATTCCTCTTCAAACCAATATTAACTAACAAGTTTTCCTTGCATATTTTATTTGCATCTCAAGTTCTTAGTCACTGCTTTCTAATAGATTTCTGAGAAATTCTGGGTACTGTTGTGGGCATTTCCTTATGCTTTTCATGTACTGGTTTCTAACTTGGCCTAAACAGTTTGTTCTATGTGTGTGGTTTTTATTTAATTGTTCAGTTGCAACTGAACTTCCCACTTCAACAAGTGAATAGTGTAGGAGGGCCAGTTTTGGCTGTAGGACAAGAAATCCTGATGCTTCAGTTCTCAGAAGCAGAAACAAGTCCACCAGCACATAAGTTAGGGTAAGTGCCCAAAGGTTACAGGGTGGAGGGAAAATGTAATCTAACCTTCTTACTTCTATTTTCACTCAGAAAATCCTCCAACTGTTTCTTCAAGGAGCTTTTTCAGTGTAGTATGATCCTTTCATATTCAGCACCATTGGCCAGTTACTCACTGGATCAAAGCAAGCACTGCCTCACAGTCCCTCAAATCAATTTCAAGAAATGTGTGTTTATAAAACTGCAGCTTTTGAGTTTTACAAGCTTTTATTTAGTAAAAGTTGTACTCCAAATGCTACAGGTTCCCAGATAAGTATGAAAAACTAAATTGTGTGCTGTGAATTATCAAGCCCCTTTCATTTCAATACAATTTATACTCATGCAGCCCTTGAAAATGTTGGCTTGTCATCTTGCCTATGCCATTCATTGAAGTTTTGGATGTACGTATGCACACTTTTTGCCTTAGAATGTGCATTGGAGAATTGGATTTTTGAGAATAGAATTCTGGAAATTAAAATCCAGCTGCATCTGCATTTTGGGAAGAATGTGCATTCTACTGTGAGTCTTATAAAGCAGTTGGAATCTGAATGTAATATTCTTGAGAAATGTCTGTTCTGTGCTGTGTCCTTTTCACATTCTTCCTTTGAACACGGCAGGCTTGCAAGTTGTATTTCTTTTATGGAAATGGAAATTAGGAATAAGTGGGGGACGTCCTCTTTTTTCCACTGCTATTGTCTTGAGAGAATTGTCCGAAACCCAGCCAAGCCTGACCTGAAGACCTATAAAGTCAAGAGTGTTGCTCTGTCACCTTGTGTACACTGTGGAAAATGTTGTGCAACTTCCCTTTGCCATATTGGCACTTGTTCAGCGATGGTGTCAAGGAGTTGCTTTGCATCAATGTTCAGGTGCTTGTTAGTTCTGTTAACAATTTCAGGTGGGAAGGGAAGGGGGATTGTTCAAATTTAAATCATTTAATGTGTTTGCTCCTTTTGAAGAATGGTTTCAATAAAATAATTTGCTTTTCTAGTCTTTCCACTCTTCATAAACAGAAAGCTGAAGGCATTTCCTGGAATGCCTGTTCGAAGCGAAGCGCTGACTGGGTCTGCTGCATGCATCCACACCCCTGAACGGGCTGGCCTATTTCTAAACGGCCACTGCAACCCGCTAGTTCTCTGCCCCGGGCCTTCCTCGGCACGTGGCGCGCACCGCCGTCCTCCCTACACCTGTTCGGCACCGAACCCCCCGCCCGCCAGCCAGCCGGCTTGCTCGAGCGGCGAGCAGAAAGCCCTGCGCCGCCCCGGCCCTCTCGGGGCCTCAGCGCGGAGGGGGCGGGCCTGTCCCGAGGGCCGCTCGCGGGCGCACCGGCGGCCCCGCCCGACCTCGCGCTCCAGTCCCGCCAGGCGGCCAGGCTCCCCGGCGCCGCGGCGAGGCCACTGGAAATCTCGGCTGTGCGCGCGCCGCGGGGGGACCGGAAGGGGCGGGGCAGTCAAAGCCATTGGTCGGGAGCGCCCCTGATGCAAGCAGCGATTGGACCGACTGCTGGGCCGCGCGTGCCCGTGCCCAATGGGCTAGGAGGAAGCGCCCCAAGGAGGGGGGACTTCCGGGCGTGGGCGCGCTGCCCCGGGGCCGTGCCGGCTGGATAGGTGGCGGTCTCGGCCGGCGTCGGAGCGGGAGAGGCGCGGCGTGGGGAGGCCTCCTGGGCCTGCGCGGGTCCGGGGGGGCGGCGGGGGCGCGCGCGGACGGGCCGGGCCTCGACTCAGCACCCGGGGCTCCTCTCGGGCGGCGGCGCCGCCGGTCCTTCATGCGTTCTGCGCGCCTCCCCAGCCCTGAAGTCGCCCGGTGAGCTGCGCGGCCTCGAACCCGGATCGCGCTAGGCCCGGTCCGCTGATGCTGTTTATTCTGATCCCTTGCTTGGCGACTGGGGCTTTTCCTCTGACAATGCGTCTGGCGGGCGCCACCGTTCAAGATCAGTTTGTGCACCCTGGGTAATTGGGCTGTGATGCCCACCTCTCCGCAGCTTCAGGTGATCCACACCGTCACAGGCTTTTACTGTAGTCTATTCGGCATATATTGATCTTTTCCTGAAGCTCTTTGGTGCACTCCAGTAGCCAACCCATATTTGCAATATGCTTTTATTTATTATTTAACACTGGTATACTGTCGCAATAGCCTCATGGCTCTCTGGAGAGTGCATGCTAAAACGATTTTGGAAGCATAGAAACTACATAAATCAATTAAAATATTGATACCAGTAGAACAGTAAAACATCTCTATCACAGCAGGAGCACCAGTCAGTAATGTACATTAACACAGCAGACTGGATCCATTTTAAAAGATAACAAAATTCCAAAAATCACTAATTAAAATAACAGCGTTAAAATTTAACCCTTAAAACAACCCTTAAAATGCTCCAAGAATAAGAACGTCTTAATCTGGTGCCAGAATATATGCAAAGAAGGTGCGTGGTGCACCTCTGGGGACCTGGTTCCATAAATGGGTCGCCAGGAGTGAGAAGGCCCCATCGCAGGTAGCCTCTCTCCTAGCTCCCTTTGAAGGCGGTTCCCAGAGCAGGACTCCTTATCACAGTCTTAGAGTCTGGGTAGGCTTACGGTGACATTCTTTCAGCCATTCAGGTCCTAAACCGTTTAAGGCTTTATTCATTAAGATAGAGGACTCTAGTGCTGCTTCCTTTTCAGGACCCACCTTGTACAAGCGTTTAGCTGCCTTTCAAACATTGGTCTGCCCCCAGCACGAGTAATGAGATCTATTCTCATGTTGCTGGTGTGTCTGTTATTCCTTGTGACTCAGCCTTGACCATTCTGCCTCGGGTGGCCCTACTAGGGGCCCAGCCTAGTGGGACTACTCTGGTCGCCTACCGGCATTGCTCTCGGTTTCTTTGGCACTCTCAAACCCCTTCATCCTGGGATATCACTGAGGCTTGCTTGGATTCCAGGGATTACTCTGAACCAGAGTTCAAAAGAGAAAATTCTTGATTTTGCCCCCTTTTCCCCACCTCAGCTGAAATTTAACTGCTCAAGTTCCACAATAGCTGTTGGTCCTCCGTACAAAACAGTGTGATGAATTTTCCCTTTGGATTTTTAGTCTGTGAAGCACTCTGAAGGAAGGGAGCTCTTCACAGGAGCATCTAGAGTGGTTCTTGCACAGGTCCCAACATTCCATGCAGGGTCCTGCCTCACTCTCACAAAGTCTGTGACAAAGGGAGAGAAGTAATTGTACAGCACAGGAAAGAGCGTAGAAGATGGCCAAAGACCCTAACTGGGCAAGCACGCTAATGGCAAGCTGGCTCCCAAAGGGGCGTTCAGTGTCATAAAGTGTAATATGGAGGACACATGGGGCGATCTTGGCTTGGGGAACCGGGATAAAGAGACTAGATACAATTCTGACCCTTTTGTGGTACATGTCCTGGGAACCCTCTGGACCTGAGCCTGGAGGAATGAGCCAAGCGTCCTTGGCTCATTCCTCCAGGCTGGCTGGCTGGCTGCCCAGTGCAGGCAGTTACCAAATTAAAATGTTACCTGTTCATCATTCTTTGGTTCAAAATCAGTAGAAAGGTCAAGTGCCCCTCTTACTTTATTATACTTGCATCTGGATCCAGAGATGGAAATATGACACACTATTTTATATCAACATTCATGTTTCTTGACTTGCACTCCTGAAGGAGCAGATCCACGCCTTGATGCTGCTGGTGCGTCCATCTCAACTGCTGGGTGCCCAGACGGCATTGGTGGCGCATCCCACCAGACAGTGTGCTAGCCGCAGCCTTTCTGATTGTCTGGCCAAGGTTATCCAGGTCCTGGTAACATTTAGGCTGTGTTGAGGCAGTCCATGTTGGCGTGAGCTTGGGTGGACTCCGGGAGATGGTGGAGGACAGGAAGGCCTGGAGGAATGTTGTCTATGGGGTCGCGATGGGTCGGGCACGACTTCGCGACTAACAGCAAGGCAGTCCATAGCCCTGCCTTTCAAGACGACCCGGACGGTAATGGAAAGGCAGATCTGCAGCATGCTGCTGAATAGTAAGATTGAAGGAAATGCCTGTGGGGCTTTCAGGAGCAGGGGACTGGGATGCACAGCTGACTGAGTGAAGTGAAGGGGACTTGGCCTGAGCACTTCCAAGAGCTCCTCAGCATTCCCAGGGCTTCGTGCCCTCTCTGGAGCCCGGAGAGGCCTCTTCGGTTGCCACCCTTGCAGCTCACGGTTATAGCCAAGACGAAGACTGAGCTAAGAGGAAAGCAGGGAGGCAGTGGGGGCAAGCAGAGGCTCTCGGGCCACAGAGTGTCTCGCCGGGCTTGAAATATCCCTGCTGTCGTTCTGCGTCAGGGCTCAGATCCAAGTGTTGCAGGTGTTGACCTCAAACAGCCTGTCCAGCTGGAGGCCACGTGTTTTCTAAGGGATGCCCTGCGCACAAGAACCCGGCCGATGAGTTCCTCCTGGGAGACTCCCTCACTTCGCCTCAGGGGCCGGGTGGGTGGCGGCAGGGACGGCCTTCTGTGTGATGGCACCCCAGTTATGGAGCCCCCCCGCCCCAGCTAAAGAGGTGCACTTTGTGGCCACTCTTAAATTGCAGGGACATGGAAGCTCCTCTATAAGGAGTTGCCGTTGGTCCGTTCCTGTCCGCACAGACTGAGGGGAATGGCTCTTGCCTTTCAGGCAGCTGAAAGTTCTTCCCAATGCCCCCTAAAGACACCAGGGATCAAATGGACTTTTGGCGCACGACCGCCTGTTCTGCCACAGAACTGCAGCACCTCGCTCAGAACGACTGCGCTTGCCCACGCTTGAGACTGGATTGTGGTTTTGGGGTTTTTTTTAGAAGATGTGGCTTTTGTGTAAGGACCTTTCTGCTTTTTATACTGCTAGATTTTTGCATTGCAATGTTTAGATGTCCTGGTATTTTAAAAACAGGATGCTTCAGATTCCATCCTAGAAATCCTCGTTGCCTAATTCCTACACAAACGTGGTACAAAGATCATGTTCTTGCCAACTAGGTCAAGGGTTTAAGACCCCGCCATGGCCAGGGGACGGCATTTCCTTGGCCCCCCTCAGTGTTACGCCAGAGGAATTGGCAGCTGTACTCCTCCTTCCCACAGCGATCCTGTTCCTAGGAAAGGCCCTGCGGCACCGGACACACAGCCGCGAGAAGGCAGCCCTCTGCTGAAGCAGGAGGGCCTCGTCCCTGTTGTGGGTGACACTCTAGGTCAGTTCTCGGAAGGCATTGATTTTTTCCACTTCGTCATGTGCTATTTGAGTTCAGGGGTCAAAGTGTAGTGGGAGGGAGGAAAGCCTTGTGATCTTTCCACCCCGAAATCAGCGCCGCTTAGCACAGGTCTCTTGCCTTGTTTGTTCCGCTGTAGGTGGATGGATTTATTCTGAACAGTGTGTCCAGCCAGGTTCCCAAAGTTAATGATTTTCCAGAAGGTGGCTGTGAGCAGATCCGAGAGCAAGAGGGAGAACTCCAGCAAAGCCCCAGCTCAGCAGAAACCCTGGCAAGGCATCTGCGGCTGAAGTGCTCGGACAGCTGCTGGCTCCCATTTCCCAGCACGCTGCCACCGCCCCTCCTTGCACAGTTAGAAGCGAGGCTCCCGTGCCTCTAAACTGGACTCTTAAGGCAGAACAGATCTTCCTGCAGGAGACGCCGCCTCCTCCTCCTCGAAGGCCCAACTCTGAAGTCATAATGGCAGGAAAAGGCTACAACTCTTACCGGGTGGTGATATTCGCTGCCATGTACATTGGTTACACCTTGTACTATTTCAACAGAAAAACGTTTTCCTTTGTGATGCCTTCAGTCATGGAAGAGATAGACCTTGACAAAGACGACTTGGGTAAGAGGCTTTTTGGAGGGAAAGCGTGCGCGTGTTTTCTCCCGGGATCCTCGGAGAGAAGCTCTGTGGAGCTGCAGAACATGCTTGTGCCATTCGTCGTCCTAAAAGGGTTGCCATGGGTGTTTGAGGACCGTCTTTCTCAACGCAGAATGTGGCTGCTGCTTTGCCAGGGGAAGCTATTTTCTCCTTGGAAAGGGGCTAGTCCTTCAGAATCCCAAAACGTGCAGTCACAGAACCCAGGCGCAGAGAGACTGCTAGCTGGGTTTCTCAAAGTCCTTTCAAGAGAAAGGCTGTCACAGTTGCCTTCGTCTCCGGAGCCTGCCCATGCTTCCAGACGCCTTGGTAATGCAGCACGGCAGAGGAAGAGGTGTGCCGGCCCGCACAGGTGGCTGGCGGGGCACCTGCGGAAAGCCTGCGAGCCGCACGAGTGCACAGCAGCACTGCCCGCTTGTGCCCCTTCGCCCAGAACGGCCCCCGTCCTCGAAGGATGTTGTGGCCAGTTGGCTTTGCATCGGTTGCCTTTCTGTAGCATTCTCTGCATGAATGGCACTTTCTGAAATGCAGAAGGGCAAGTCCCTGCCCCGAAGGGCTTCCTAGCTATAATTCAGCTTAGGAGAGGGAAATGGAGGCAAGGGCAGATGGGAGAGCAACGAACGAGCCCTGTGTGTCGAGCCTTCCCGTCAGTAGGAGCCTGGGATTAAGGTTTCATGGAAAGCTCTGCCCCAGCACGGCATCCCCGAGCTTCTGCATTTTAAGAGGCTGATGACAGAAAGAGGGCTGAAATAGACTTCCCGGCATGCATGCCCAGGAGCATGGGAGGCGTGGTTGTCAGAATGGCGACCACAGCACATCCAGTGTGCTTCTTGCTCCATTCAAGCGCTGGCATGGGGGCTTGTTTAGATCAAGGATGTTGCTTTTGGATTATTTTGTGCCACACCGCGACCGCCTCTGTAAGCCTTTCCTTCTGACTCTCCCCCACCGCAGGGCTCATCACCAGCAGCCAGTCTGCAGCCTATGCCATCAGCAAATTCATCAGCGGAATCCTTTCGGACCAGATGAGTGCCCGCTGGCTTTTCTCCTGCGGGCTCCTGTCTGTGGGCTTGGTAAACGTGGCCTTCTCCTGGAGCTCCACCGTCGGTGTCTTTGCAGGGCTCTGGTTCCTCAACGGGCTGGCCCAGGGCTTGGGCTGGCCCCCGTGTGGGAAGGTGCTGCGGAAGGTAAGCGCGCAGAGGGCCCGGCACTGTGGCGGAAGTGGGCGGAAACCTTCCTCTGAGCACAGTGGAAGCGCGGGTGGCAGCAAGCAGTTCCGGATCATGTGCAGCCGCTGAGCTTGGATGCCATTTTGGGAGATTCACATGTCTGTGATAGCAGAACCTGATTGGCCGTTTTCTGTCCCAAGCTGCAGAGGTGGAGGACTTGCCCCATCTCTTTGCCACCAAAAGGTGCCGCACTTCTGATGGGGCTTGAACTGGCAGTGGTGCTGGGAGCTATGAATCACAAGCTGTATCATGTTTCCGTCTGAGATATTTTTGGGAAGCAAGGCTGCGTGAGAAGAAATGATCAAATGACCCCAACCGAGTGGGCACTGCAGTGTGGCATCTGCAGCGGTTTCCACAGAAGTTTGGGACTGGACTGGATGTTCTGCAGCCAGGAGCCAGTGTCCAGACGACCCAGGTGCCCGTGGCTGAACCAGAGCAGATGCCCCTCCGGCCGGGAATCTGGTGTCCCACACGAGCCGCCCAGATGCCCCTCGGAAAGCTTGCAAGCAGGTTGCAACAGCAACGGCTGCCAAGAACCCTGATGGAGGTGTGGCAGAGACCCACCATCAGCAGCAGCTGCTGACAGAACTGAGGCAGGGAAAGCAGAGCCGCTCGTGGCTCTTGGCTGCCTCGAATGACCCCTCTTGCACCTGTGACTCTCAGAAGCAGCGAGACTTCCGGCAGATACTTCTGGGAGTATGTCTGCAGGCTGCGGGTCCAGGAGTTGTCTTGCTGGGACACAAGTGAAAAATGAAGCTTGTTGCCCAGGTCTGAATGACCAGGGGCTGGCCTGGCCTCTCGCTCATCCCCTCCGTCTGTGCCGAGGCCACCGTCCCCCCCCCCCCGATGAAGGGACCAGCTGCAGGCCGTCCCTCGTTAACCAGCTGCTGCGGGATGGGGCCATGTAAGGCCTGCGCATCCGAGCTCCCCTTTGCTGCTCTCCAGCTGTTGCTGCGGTAGCTCAAGAAGGTCCCACCCAACCTGACCAAAAGCCCATCCAGCGCAGCCTCTGGTTCCCGCAGTGGCTAATGAGCTGCTCATGGGAAGCCCATGAGGAGGGTGCTCGCTCCAGTGCATTCCTCCACGATGGGCAAACAAGATGCCAGGGCTGATCCTCTTCAGATTTGATTGCATTTGTGCTTATTTGTTTTAATTCTTGTAAAGCACTTGGGGACTGAGCATAGTATAAAAATATCCTTTTATTTAACTCAGTTTCTGGGAACTATATTTTAACAGGCAGGGATGTGTGTCTGGGGGAACTGGTTTGCCTCTCAGCAGTGACTCTTGCAAGGAATAGCTTGAAGCCGAGGGAGGCAGCCTGGTGTCCTCGAGATGTTCTGGGGCTTCCGTAATCCCTAATAATTGGCCATGCTGACTGGGGATAGTGGGGGCTGCATTCCCAAAGGTGGGGAAGGCACGGGGTTGAGGCCATCGGCACTGCGACAAGCCTGGGGGCTGGCGCCCTGCTTTGTTCCCATGTCCCTGAATCTCCGGTGTGCGTATCCAGCCCTCACCAAAATACGTGCTTTCTCTCCCTTCTGCACAGTGGTTTGAGCCCTCCCAGTTTGGGACGTGGTGGGCAGTCCTCTCCACCAGCATGAACCTGGCTGGGGGGCTGGGCCCCATCGTGGCTGCTCTGATGGCGCTGAGCTATGACTGGCGCACGACCCTGTCCCTCTCTGGCATGCTGTGCGTGGCCGCCTCCTTCGTGTGCCTGCTCCTGATTAAGAACGAGCCCTCGGATGTGGGACTGCCCAGTGTTGAGCCAGGGCCCAAGAAAGGGAAAAGGGGTGAGTGACTGGGGGAGGAGCGCCGCGTGGTGGGGCCTCTCGGACTGGGCGGCAGAGGGGCAGGGAGGGCCGAGGAGAGGTGGCGCCTGGTGGCGGAGGCAGCACTGGACAGGACCCGGCGAGGACCGAGGGGAAGCCGCCTGGCCGCAGCTGTGTCCGGCCTGGGCCTGGCCAGGCACCCTGCCCGGCCTGCAGGAGTGGCAGCCTGACTGTTCCTGTGCCCCGCAGGCTCCTCGGCAGATGACAGCACCTTGGCCGAGCTGCTGCTGTCCCCGTACCTGTGGGTCCTGTCGACTGGGTACCTGGTGGTCTTCGGAGTGAAGACGTGCTGCACCGACTGGGGGCAGCTGTTTCTCATCCAGGAGAGAGGACAGTCGGCACTTGTCGGTATGCGGAGCAGCCTGACGTGAGGGTTTCCAGGGCTGGACAGCCGCCACCGGAAAACCATTCACTGCCCCTCTGGAAACTCAGAAGAGCTGGGTGGTGGCGAGCCAGGGTCAGTCTGACGTCTCACACGCCACGGACTGCACATCATCACCTGGAGCGGTTCGTTAGAGGGAAGTGTCCAAGGCAGCCAAGGGCGGGCCTGGGATGCCGAGCAGTGAGCTGCGAGCGACAGAACCACAGCCTGGCATCTCAGGCGCGCTCTGCCCGACTCGGCCGTTTGCTAAGTTTTGCAAGGAAGCCAGTGCCAAAGGGGCCCATACCATGTCTGCTCTTCCAGCAGTCCCTTCAGTGGGTTAATATTCCCTGTTGCCCCACAGGGAGCTCCTACATGAGTGCCTTGGAAATCGGGGGCCTGGTTGGAAGCGTTGCAGCAGGCTACCTGTCAGACCGAGCAGTGGCAAAGGTAAGCCCACCTGACCCCACGCAGTGCGGAGGCCCCCCGCGTCACACGTGGGTTGCCGGGTGCAGCGGGCAGGCCCTCTGCGGATGTGGGCATCCTCCTTTGCCGGGGGGTTGGGGACGCAGCTCAGGCTGAGGCTGCTGGTCGTGTCAGACAGGGCCATCGGCCAGCCACAACAGCAGCGTGTGTGTTGCAGGTGGGTCTGTCCAGCCATGGGAACCCCCGACACACGCTCCTCCTCTCCATGATGGCAGGCATGTCTGCTTCCATGTACCTCTTCCGGGCCACGGTCACAGCCAGCTCTCCCAAGGTAAGCCGCAGCACCGCAGTTCCCGGCATCTCACGAGAGGCCACCAGAAAGCGAGGCCACATCCCACGGCCGCTCGTTGCTTGCCAGGAGCCCAACACACAGTCGCCCAAAAGGGCCTGGACGCTCACGGGTAGCAGAGGCTCAGACAATTGGTAAAGCCACTTCTGTGAAATTAGTTGTGGGATGTGCTCCAGAGTATTATTGGTTGTGGGTTTTGGTTGCCCCAAGCATCCGTGTTTTTCCACAAATACTGGAAATATGCTTATTTCGTATAGGCAGCCCCTGAAGGTAGCCTTGGGGTGAACTATATTGTGTCCTCGATAAACAGTGATCAGCAGGACTTTGGGTGGATACTTGTTTGTTTGTTTTTTAAATGGTTTGGGTGTTTTTAATTGTTTGATGTCACATTAGGCAAGACACGCATATTTCAGGTAGCAATAAGGATCTGATTTGTCACATTGTTCTCGAATGGTAGCAAGGAGGGCACCGCGTCTGTTTTTGCAAAAGAGGATAATCCGCTTTCCCAGCTTCCATTTCACTTACCATGTTACCAGCTTGGAGTAGTACGTCTTAACTGCTGATGCTTTTTAGTAAACGTGGCACATCCCACGTGAAAACCTCCCACAGTGCAAGGGAATGGTGGCATTGGAAGGTGACTCTGGGTAAGACGTGATAGTTTTCCAGCTCTGAAGCTTCTGTTGCAAGAACACTTGGTGGGGTTTCAAAGAAAGTACAGCCTGCTTGATGGGAGTTTCCACACAATGACACCCAAAGAGCTTATTGAAGACAGAGTGTACTGGAGACATCGGAGGGAGGGGGCAGGGGGGCTTGCAGCCTACCAGGTACTGTTACACTCCAGTTCCCACCAGCCTCTTCCATTCCCTGCAGATAACCTTTAGCAGGCAAACCTTGCAAGTCTTAAAACAAGCTTTTAAAGTTTAGTTCACCATCTTAAAGCTGCTGTGGCGGTGAGGGGCACTTTCTGAGTGGATGGCTCAACAGTTGCTGCTATTTTTCTCTGTAACATTTTCCTAGTGACATTTGCTTATTGCTTCTCTCTCTGTCTCTCTCTCAGGAAAGCAATTCTTGGATTCTAATCCTCCATCCTCTTGCACACCTTGTGGGCTTAACAGAACATGAGGTCTCTTCTTCTCACTTCTCTGCTGTGTGTAGAATTAGACCCATAAAGGCAGGCTGTAATGTCGAACAGATACTAAAACCGCTTGCCCTCTCACCTCATGCTGCTTTATTTCTTGGTTTTTCATCAAATTCACAAAGTCGTTTCTGGCCACAAAACTGAGAGGCAGCCTATGGCAGGAGCTGAATGGGGCTGTCATGGCTAGGACTGTTTGGAGAACTTTCATTCCTATGTTGGCCATAAGTTTGAGGCGATTTGAGGGTACATAATAGACCGTTGAAATGATTTTGGGGAGGGGATGCAGAGGAGGTTTGTGATGTTCTGCTTGCATTGGTCAGTACCGCTGCTTAGCAACATTATGGAACTGCCAGAATGTTATACTGGAAGTTGCTGGGAGGCTAATTTGTCTGTCTCCTAACAGTGATTTTGATGCACCTCCATCCTTCGCAAACGCTTTTCTTCATAGCAACGGTTGCTCGTTATTTGTCACTAGCCTAACTAACCAGGTTACTAACAGGCTGTTTGTATTGCCCCAGGAAAAATGGAAGGGCAAGTTTTTCTTCCAGGAGTAAAGGATGTCCCAGGTGTGCTCTAACCTAGAGGCCACCTTGCAGGTGCTGGAGTGGAGAAGGGGATTCAGGCAGCCAGTGGCAGGGAGATTAGAATCATGTCACGCCTCACTTCTGACCACTCTTTGGCCTTGCTTGCTAGCTGTGGATCCTGCTGCTGGGAGCCGCATTTGGGTTTTGCTCCTATGGACCGATTGCATTGTTTGGAGTAATAGCCAATGAGAGTGCGCCATCGAACCTCTGCGGAACGTCTCATGCCATAGTTGCACTAATGGCAAATGGTGAGTGAAGTTCTGCTCAGGGCGAGATGGGAGGACGGTGGCACACACTCTGCCCCCCCCCCGCCCCGCTTGACATTTCCCCTGCCTTTCAGTTGGAGGATTCCTGGCTGGGCTGCCTTTCAGCACCGTTGCCAAGCACTACAGCTGGGGAGAAGCCTTCTGGATAGCAGAAATGACCTGCACCGCCAGCACAGTGGCTTTTTTCCTCCTGAGGAATATCCGCACCAAGATGGGCCGTGTGCCCAAGAAGGCTGACTGAAATGCGCCGCTGGCTCGGGTGCGAGGAAGCCTCCTACAGCAGCCACCACACATTGGAAGCGAGCAGGAACGGGGCAGAACCAAGTTCTTCCAGTGCGCTCTTGCCAGGGTGAACTCTTTGGCAAAAGCTTGGCAAGGTCTCACCACTGTCACTTTCCACTACTAGTTCTTGTTCCTAATATCATAGGAAATGCTACGGTTTGACTCTGATGACCAAACCTTGCCTTGCTTCTCTGCCCGAGACAAGATTTGGCAATACTGATGCACCAGCCACCTGCTGCTCTGGCAACTCAAGCAGCGTGCCCACGAGACTGGAGAGGGGACAGCAAGGGAGGCCTTTCTCCCTGGAGGGAGAGGGGGCTGCTTCCCACCTCTGTCGCCAGTAGACGTGATTCGACACGCCCTTGCTAGACTCCTTCCCTTTCTGTGTGTCCCTCCTCCTCCTCCCTGCTGCATTCTGCTGGCAGCAGTGTTGGGAGACTGCACACCAGTCCCACTAAGATGTAATGGGGCTGGAGCTGGTCAGGGAAGAGGGAAAGGCTTGGTTCTAGAATGTCTGCAGCTTTGCCTCTAGAAGCGGGTTTCATGCCTCGCTAGGCTTATAAACTGCCTAATGAATACTTCTGGGGCTCAATCAGGAACTGACACCCAGGAAAACAAAGATATTTGCACCACAGGCATAGATTTAACTCAAGGCACTACTGGCTCCACCCTCCATATCCTCTCAGTGAAGAAATGCTCCACGCCGCAGCTGCCCTGGTCAAGAGTTCCCTCAGCAATTCTGCAGCTGTGGAATTCCAAACCACGATGACCTATCGTGAGGAGCCTACTTTGCGAGACTGAAAATAGTCCACTAAGATGTATTCCTAATCGTAATCACTGTAGAGCACTGTTCACCGACAGAAATAAAGGACAGTCCAGTAGAATCCTACGTTCCTGGTAGAAGCCTTTCTTCCTAAATTGCAGGACGCTGCTGCTTTTCACCAGACACGGGCCGAGAGCAGTTTGGCCCGGCACAGCAGGCTCCCCTGTCCGCAAGTGGGCCTGCCCCCACATCTCATCCTTCCTGGATGTCGAGCACTCGGAGCTAAGCTGTCCCTAGCTCAACAGTCGAGTCGTTGCTCATTGGGGAATGCTTTATTTACACATGCAACACACCATCTTCCAGTCATAAGTTAGAAGTACACATATTTTGTCTACATTGCCCATAAAAGAGCAGTGGGTCCATCTTGCTTCCCTCTGAGCTGCCAGCCAGCTGCTTTTCCCAGCATCAGCAGCTCCGCTGGCAATACGTTCCTTTAAGGGCAGGGACGTTTGTTCTGCGCTCCAGGATTGCAGCCCGAGCCACTGAACAGAGATTGCCGAGAAACCTTTCCGGCCCAAGATGCAGCTGCCCCTGGAAACTCCCATTAGCTGGTTGAAGCCATCCTATAATCCTGGCCCAAAGGGCCCTGCTTTCTCGGCTACCTCAAGGGCAAGCTTCAAGTTCTGATCAAAGAGCTCACACCTGAAAGGTTCAACAACAACACAGTGGGTCATGCACAAAGCAATAAGCCACCTGTAGCACTAATTGCACATTTTTAATTCTATCTTCAGCCTTGTGGGAACTTTGAAGGACAATGTTTAAGTTTTAAAATTTATTTAGCGCAATTTGGTCCCTGTTCTTTTGTGTTTGTAGCAGGAACATGGACAGCGCTGTGACAGGACATGTCAGCACGAAAGATGCCTCTGTGTGTCCTATGTTGCAAGCTCACTTGCTCAAGTATACAGCAGCTTTGTAGGAGAAATCTTGGTTGTCTCAGAGGCTCGTTTTGGAGGGGAAAGGACATGAAATCACTAGAGTTCAAAGGGATAGTCAATCAGTTGGCAAGCCAAGCAACGCCATGGGCTTGGTTTTATTCTGGGGAAGGGGTACTGCTAAACTTCCTGGCAGCAGCCTCCATGCAAGTGCAGAGCTCATGTGGGTGATGCACAGGGACCACAAAGAACATTAAGCTAAAATATGCGGCAGGCTTTGACTCTGTTCCCTTTGACTTCGGCTCTGCCCACCACAGGGAAGCCCCCCTTCCCAGCTGAATGCATTGTTTTCCAGGTCACCCAGACTAAATATCACCTACCTATTGTGGCCACGCACCCCAGTTCCTCACAGAATTCATCAACACCCCAGGAAAGAAAAGGAGTGGTCTGCCCCTTCTAACACCAATCTAAACTGATTTTGAGCCGCTTGGACAACAACTTCTTTTGTGAGAATGAACATTTGGTTCTTACCTGATTGGCATCTCCAAAGAGTAAAAAGGATTTTTCAGAGCAAAGTCTGAATAGATTTCATAGATCTTGCGCAGAAGGGAATCTATCCCAGATTGCCGGGGGTCAGCAAGCACCACAAACTTTATTCCTGAAGACACAATGACTAGAATTAAAGCATGCCACCTCCAAAGCTAAATGCACAATTGTCATGAATGACATGAGTTGGAATATCTGGAGGGAAAAGTTGCTCTAAAGCAAGAACTAATATTTCACTAGTATCAAATTACAAGTATTAGAATATTTTGCAAATGAACAATAATTTCTTTCCCTTAAGACTACTTAGTGCAATCTACTCCTGTGAGCACAAAGTTGCTCTTTTAACACAGGTAGCTTTCCTTAACTGCACTAACTCCAAGTGTGCAGAATTTGCAAAGTTAATTTAGACAGGGAGAGAAGGATCTGTAAGTGGGGGAATTCACATTGTCACACTTGGATCATTGTCACACTGCACTTTTGACCCTACAGGTTGGGGAACCTATTGGAATAGCCTGTGCTTGAGCATTACTGGATTCCGGAGAGGCCTGGGGACTTTTTGCTAGCATGGTTGCTTCTCTCACAGAAGTTCCAGCTATTGCTGAAGACTGAGTGGGTATTCCTGAATACAGCAGTGACCTAATCGAATGCTAACCTTAAGAAGATGGAGCTCAAGAAGCGCTACCTGTGAGGGTCTGAAAGCAGTGCAGCTTGAAAGTATCCGTTTCCAGCATCTCAATTCCAGAGCTTCCTTGCTCAGGAGACAGCTGGGACCCAATGGCAAACAACCTGCAGAGAAACCAGAATGCCAGCCTGCATCTCTCCCGTGCCCTCTCGTGTCCCGTCTAGGAACTGGCCTTCTCCCGCCCCTGCATCCCAACTCACGAGTGGAACATGGAGGCCAGCATGAGCTTCTCGTTGGATGAGAGCCGAGGGCGGCCGAAGCGGATGGCCACGGGATAGTTGGCCGGGTTGTTCAGGTATTCCAGCACATCCTTCCCATCGCTCGTGTATCTGCCGTTGACATCGATGCCGTTGATGGCAAGGACAGCGTGGCCCACTGGGAGGGACAGCATGGCGCGGTTATCCTCCGCGGGCAGTCAGACTGCCCTCCACTTTCCGCCCCCCCGGCCCGCCCCCCCGCGCGGCGGCCGCCGCCGCTCACCGCGGATGCCGTCGCGCTGCCCGAAGGCCACGAGCACGCGCTCGTCGTGCGGCCGCAGCACCAGCTCGAGCGGGAAGCCGAACGTCTTCTCGGCCTCGGCGCGCGGCGCGTAGTGGTCCAGCTGGTAGATGAGCCCGCCGGCCTTGTTCACCACGTACACGCTGAAGATGGCCATGGCGCGCGGGCGGGGCAGGAAGCGGGCGCGCGCTTGGCGCCGGGGCGCGCCCCTTCCGGCGCGGCCGGAAGTCGCGCGCCGCCACGGGGTTTCCCGCCCCGTCCGCGCCGGCGCCTTCCTTTCTGGCCAGAGCTCGCCGAGGGAGCAGCAGGCTGCCTGCGACCGCGCATCATGGTAGGCCGCGGAGGCGGGAGGGGCGCGCGGGGCGCGGCGGCCGGGGGGCTCCGCCGCCGCCGCCGCCGCCTCACGCTTGCCTTTGTGTCCGCAGCCGCCCAAGGACGACAAGAAGAAGAAGGACGCGGGCAAGTCGGCCAAGAAGGACAAGGACCCCGTCAACAAGTCTGGCGGCAAGGCCAAGAAGAAGGTAGGCCCGGGCGCGGCGCTCGCGGCCCTCGCCTCGAGGGCGGTGGGCCCGGGGAGTCGGGGGCCGGCGCCGAGCCCTCCGCCCGCGCGTGCCTGGAAGCGGGCGGGGAAGGCGCGGGCAGGGCCGGGGTTCCGCTCCCGGGAAGGTGCGTGCGCGGGTTGCCGCGGGCGAGCGATGGAGCGCCGGGCATCTCCTTTTGCTACGGCGGCACCACGTGCGCGCGGAGGATCCCTTGCTGCCCCACAGATGTGAAGGGCGGGGAAGGTAGAGCGGAGATCCTCTTTCCCCGGGCAAGGCTGTATGAAGCGATCTTGTACGTGTGTGATATATTTGCTTGAAGACTTGCGTTTAGGCTTTCTGGGAACACACTCCTCATAGGCGATTTACATGAATTTATGCGCACAGCCATAACAACAGTAGCAACAGGTAATGGTTTTTAAGCACTAAGTGAAAGCTGCATTTTAATAACGGCATCTATACGTGTATTCATTTCAAAACGGGGCTGTCTTGGTCCATTTTCAAAGGAAGGGAAACCCCTAATTTTGACAAATGTTGCTGAGAAGGCTGATTTTGTGCACAGGATGGTGTTCCCAGTTTTAAGCCCTCTTCATGCTGTAGTTCTCTATCATTTGGCCTTCCACATTTTAATAGTGCTTTCTTTTTTTGAGCAGAAGTGGTCTAAAGGAAAAGTGAGAGACAAATTGAACAACCTTGTTTTGTTTGACAAAGCTACTTATGACAAACTGTGCAAGGAAGTGCCGAACTACAAGCTTATCACGCCTGCTGTGGTCTCAGAGAGACTGAAGATTCGAGGTTCTTTGGCTAGAGCTGCACTCCAGGAGTTACTCAGCAAAGGTAAGAAATGGCCCTACTTTCTAAATATTTATACTAAGGGCTAGTATTTATCCTGCATGTTAGATACTACTAAAATTGTTTGGTGATGGAAAGTGAAGCTACAGTGGTGCATAGCCCGTATTAGTGCAATGTTTAAATTGATCCTCTATTTTTAAGAGACTATGCTGGTATTTTAACTTGCATGCCCACAAGAAGACCCTGCTTCCTGTTTTGTTTACCTCTGTCGGAAAGCTGTCATTTGTGAGAATTGTAATGAGCAGGTACAGCATCCCTACTAGTTTTCTGAGCATAGTAGAGTTGGAAGTAGCCAGTAAGTTCATCAGATCCAACCCCTGCGCAGTACAGGATTCCCAAGTAAAAACATCCCTAGCAGATGGCTGCCCAGTTTAATCTTGAATTGCTGCAAGTGGAGGAGAGCCCATGGCCTTTCCTAGGTCATTCGTTCCAGTCATTTTGCTTCAATGCCAAGTTTTGCCTGATGTTCCACTGGACTCTGGCTTCCTAGAAGTGTCAGTAATTTAATGTCCTACATTCTGGAATCATTGTGAAGAGATCGCAGCTCTCCTCTCTGTGGTGTCTCTAATTAATACTGTCAGGACTAAACATGCCCAAGTCTTCCAGTCTCTCCTCATAGGTTTCCAGTCTCCCACTCATCTTTGATGCCCTCCTCTGAACCCTTTCCAGCCTTTCTGTATCTTAAATTGTTGCCTAGATTCATGCAGCTCACTTTCTCTGGCTGTTTTTCCAGACTGAAATGTACTGTTCTCCTGGCAGGTTTAATTAAACTAGTGTCCAAACACAGAGCTCAGGTCATCTACACCAGAAACACCAAGGGTGGTGATGCTCCAGCTGCTGGGGAGGATGCGTGAAAAGGTGAGCTGTTTTGCTATTGGTAGGGTTGCTGTAGGCCCCGAGGCTTGGTGAAATTCTACCAGGGTGACTATCTGGTAGTGAGATGGTTCTAATTCGTTATCTGCTTGCATTGCAGGTTCTCAAGCGGCTTTTAGAGTCTTCTGTGTATTCCTAAAAATAAAATAATTGAACTTGTGTGTGTGGTAATTTGGGCAGAGGCTCTTAGTGGCTAAAATGCTTCCCCCCTATTTATGCAAGCCTGCCCTCTGCTTTTGTGAGCTGGATTCAATATGTATCAACTGCTACCAGGTACTTGTGTAGAAGTACCTGGCTAGTGTAGCATTCTCTGACAGCAACTGTTGGGTTTATGTGGGCAACATGGTATGCATAGAAGCCGGCTCTTGGGGATAGTGTAGATGTTGGGATTAACTCATAATTTTGAGCTAATCATAATTTTGAAATTACTGAAGCATGAGTGAAGTACCTGGTCTCTAGAAAAGCTAGAAATAATAGGCTCCATTTCAGTAGCAACACTAAGAGTAATCCTTTTGCTCAAAAAACCTCTTTCGAACACAAGTTTACTTCATTTGGTATATTTTGCATCCATTACAATAGCTTCTTAAGACTATGCTAGGTGCTGCAAGAGAAATGTAGCAAAAAGCCATTTATAAACACATTGAAGGAGATGTCATTCGGCTTCGGCTTGAGGCTTTCTTGGTAGACAGGCTTCACCCCTCCTTAGGTTTCTCTGGAGCTGCTCACTGGCAGACATCTCCAGTGGCTGAATCAAACGCATGATGGATCCCACAGCGCTGCACTGGAGGCACAAACCCTCCCTCCTCTCAGTCAGTTTTCGGCCTCTTCCTTTTAGTTCTGGGCTGCTTCTGTCCTGCTTCAAGTTTGAACTGATGCCTAGAAAGAGCGTTGCCAAAGGCAGGTGGTTGGTCAGAGTAACTGGCAGCAACATACTTGGGCTACACATCCGTCACTTTGGTAAAGTGGCACTTGCCCCTTTTGAGAAGTGACACCACAACCAGTGACAGAGGTCAGTGAACATGAATCAGGGCTGAGTTAGTTCCACTGTCACATGGCCCTGTTACGTTACAGCACTGTGTCCAGCAGATGTGAGAAGCACATGCTCAAGAGCGCTCAAGTGATGCTGGCCGTGCACTTGTCGATACCTAATAGCTCTTGTATGTGTTGCAAGAAATCAAGCAGCCCAAAATGAGGGGAGGGAAGGCTGTTGTCCCTTTGCCCACCAAACACTGTCCTGGGAGCCGCTCTAAAGGCAGGCAGATGTTTCCCACGGTGAAAGCTCTTCTGCTCCTTATCCAGGACCCACAGCAGCTTACCTGGACTGCCACCGCCTCCCATGGTTCCAGACCCGCCCAAAGGAGGGAAGCCACCCTTCTCCCGTCTGAGAGCTGTGATCAAAGTTGGCCCCAACGCGATTGGGCGGAAGCGTCCTCAGTTTCTGCTTCTCTCCTTCGAAAGGGGGAAGAATGGAATGTGAGGCACGCAGACCCTTCATCCCACTAGGATTTGCAGGAAGCAGCATGGCTTCATCCACTGAGGGCGACCCTGATCACAACAAACCTTGCACACTTACTTTCCTTGAGAAATTCTTCATAGGATGGCCCAATCTGTCCTTGGCTTTCCCTTTCCTCATCCCTCAGCCATGGAGGCTTGGCCCCTGCAAATTGAAGAGAGGAAGTAAGGGGAGGGCTGCTCTTCCTTTCTCTTGCATCCACCCAGGAGGCGCCGTCTCCTCGCTACAAAGGCAGCCAGAGACCTCTGGCGTGTTTGTCTTTGAGAATCCAGATGCATTTTGTGATCAGTCTCTTGTTAAAACTACAGGGATTATCCTTCCACTGAAAGCTCAGTGTACCAAACAGAGAGGCCCAAACTGCATTCAAGGATGGCTCAAATGGTTGGAGCAAGCAAATTCTCACAAAGGTACCTGTGTGAACGTTGCCTTCCCCTGTCACTTCCTGCATTCAAAAGAACAAAAGAGACATTAAGTTAGAAATGATATGGGGAGAAGAGGTACAAAGAAAGGCAGCTGAATGAGGGGTTTTCCTGCTGGGTTCCACACTTCTAAAAAGCAATCAAGTGGCAGACAGAGCCCATGCACACAAGTCAGCCCGGAATTGGATCTCGCACTGCGGAGTGTAAGAGCCCAGGCTGAGTGCCGGACGGCCACCCACGACTACTCTGGTGCCACCAGCTGCTGGCGTGGCAGAGCACCTGTGGATGCCTCTGCGTCTTCCATTCTGGTTGGGCGCGATGTGAAAAGTAGCTAGTAGGTGTCTGCTTATCAGGCTTGCTAACAAGTCTGCATTCCACATTTCGGCCATATTAATTAGGTTGGAGGACAAGCTGCCATCAACTGCTTGTTAGCCATGGGATGACCTTGCCGATCGACTGCTAGCAACACCAAGGCCAGTTCTGCAGTGCAGAGACTCTGCAGCAGTATTTGCCAATTAGCAGCTGGCATTATATAAACAAAGCATGCTTTCACCCCAAACAACAGAGGAAGGAAGGATATATAAAGTGGATAATTAGTCCAGCACCTTGTTCAGACTTCTTGGACCAGTGGGCTTCACTGTTCACCCATTCCAGCTGGTGGAAGACTTGCTGAGGAATTGCTGTTACTGAGCACCTGCTAGCATTGTAAGTTACTCAGTAGATTTCCTTGTAAGCAAGCCTGGATCTTGTATGTCAGTTTCTTGGGATTCCGCAAACCTTTGACCCCCCCACCCAGATGGTGCTACAGCACCTCAGCCAAGCCAGAGGCTGAACTGATGAAGGGGGGCTATCTGCCTACCTGGTGGCCAATGAAGGTCAGAGCATGGCCTGGTTCCGGCCAGCTGAGGTCAGGAGCAATCCTGCATGCGCGCTCAGGCTGTTCTCTGAGAAATGTCATGCTCCTGCTTGGACCAGGAGGCTCCTGTTCTTCCGTGGCAAAAGCAGAGTCACTACAACACAAGAGAGCTGCTCGGCCCAGGCAGGAAGGGGGTGGGTGCATCCTGGCACCCACTATTTGAAAAGATTATGTTGTCAGGAAAGGGGCGGGAGGTTCCCCTGGTGTGCAGAGGCAGCGGGGTCTCCGAGTGGATGGCGCTTCTCTTACCTTTGGCTCCCCACTAAGGCATTGCCAGCAGCTCCATCACGCAGCTCTGTCTCTGTCTGCGGCTGAGTTTGATTCAGGAAAAACATGCTTGTTCCAATAAGACAGCAATAACATGTGCTCTGTAGGGGACCACTGGAGTATAATGACTGGGTTACAGGGTGGAAGGAACCCCATTGGCTTCCATCAGGAGGTCGCGGCCAAGGCCACTCGTGCAAAGGAGGGACAGTGGAGTTTGCCAACGGCCCAGGCTTTCGGGCTCTGCCCCCCAGCACTGAACAACTGAGCTAACGGAAGAGAAGCCACTTCGGGCAGCAGTTGGAGGCGATGAAGCCAAGACGTCCAGTGAACAGCTTGCATTTTCAGAAGTGGGGAAGCAGAAGCAGCGGGTAAACTAGCACAGTTAAGGGCCATTCAAGGTGTGTAGGGAGGTCTATGTTGGTTAAAAGCTTCCAGCCAGGCATTTTATGCTGGAAGTGGTACCAGTGCAGAGTGGGCAGGGAGGGCCACGGAAAAGAAGTATTAAGTGTCTCCGACAGAGAAGGAGGGGTCTTGCTACTTCTTTCTGCACTTGAAGGTGCTTTGCGAGAATGACAGAGATGACCAAAGGTGCTGTGCTACCTGTGGCAGAGCGGCAAGTGGCATTCTGCCTTGAACACAACCTCCAGCAAGCCAAGTTATTCTGGTAGCTGAAGCAGAAGAGCCTGCAAGCACTTTCCCTTGCTCTGGCAGTAAAAATACAAAAACAATAGATTCAACCTTTAAATGTGCTACCACTTTGTGACAGCCAAAAACTGCTTCCTGAGGCCATTTGCTCACTCTGCACTCTAGGAGTGGTTCATAGACATATTTGTGAATATAATGGTGGATACTGCCCACTTGCATCCCGGGCACACAAACCTCTAAGACGGCATCCACCATTTCTTGCCGGCTCTGTTCCACCTCCCGGATGTGAGCCGCCATCTGGCATGAAGACAGATGGAGAGCAAAATCAGAATCCAGAGCAGAAGAGCTGCCCAGTTCAGCACCTCCGCACCCACGTTCCAGCCTCACCTGCTGAATGACCTCTTCCTCTTCAGCATCATACGTGTCTAGCGCTTTGGAAAGCGAGGCTTTGAAGCTGCAATAGATTTTTAAAAATCAGCAAAGCAATCAGTGGTGCACGGAAACCAAAATCTCCACCCCTTCAATTTGTAGTCAGTTAAGCCCACAACAATTGCATGGCAACAGAACAAGGTGCCAGCGGGGTAGTAATGCCAACCCACATTAAGCTGAAAACTCAAGAGCTGTCACTTGATGAAAACACGTGCTTTGCATGCAAAAAGACTCCAAGGTGAGAAGGCCAGTTTGCTCTCCAGGCAGAGCTAGCAAATGCCCATCCAGACCCGAGTTTCCAGTATAAGGTAGCTCATGATACCCCTACCTGGCAGCTGCCCCAAATGGCTAATCAGACAGCAAAATGCCACCTGCGTGCACAAGTGAAGAGGCCACTCACAGCTCGTATTCTTCAGAGGAAACCAGGAAGTGCGGCTTCAGGCTGGGGTCCGCCTTGTGCTCCCACCAGAACGCGGAGACGGCCTTTTTATGTTCAGCACTGGAAAGCGAGGAAAGACTGTCTGGCATCGGACCGCCGAGAGGCGCGGGCGTTGAAAGCTCTGAGCAGCCCTCGAAGGCTCGTCGCCCGGGAAGGCCGCAGGCGGGCGAAGGGGCCTCTTCACGGGCGCCCGGAAGGGCCCGCGCCCAGCCAGCCGCCACGGCGCGCACAAGCCACACCGGGCCGCTCTCGGCCGAGGGGCCAAGGGGTGAGCAGGGGCGGCGAGGCGCCCACGAGGGGAGATCGGCCCACGGGCCTTCCGCGCGGGCTTGCCTCGGGCAATGCCGCCCGCCCGCCCGCCCGCTCGCTCGCTCACCTGGCCAGGTGCTGCAGGAGGCCGCCGTGCGGCACCGCCAGGCCGCCGTGGCTCAAGTGCCGCCGCACCTCCTGCCCGCAGCAGGCGCACCAGAAGCGCCGCTCGTGTTCCGCCGGCTCGACGGGCGCCACCACGGCGCGCCGGAGCACCTCCCGCGCCGCGTCCACCTGCAAGAGGCCAAGCACGGGCCGAGCTCGCCGGGCTGCCCGCCCCCGGCCCCCGGCCCCGGCCCCCGGCCCCCTCCCGGTCGCGGGCGCCCACCTTCTCCCGCAGGCGGGCCAGCACGCCCCGCAGCCGGCGCTGGTGCCCCGCGCTGTGCAGGTGGCTGCGGCGGCCGGCGAAGGCGCTGCGGCGGCACAGCGAGCAGCGGAAGACCGTCGCGGCCGCCGCAGGAGCCTCGCCCGCGCCGGCCTCCATTTCCCCGGCCGGAAGCCGCGGCGCGCGCCCCCTGGCGGCGGGCGGGGCGGCCGCGCCGCTGCAGGATGACGTCACCTGCGCGGCGGCGCTCGGCACGTGGGCAGAGGCGCTGCCGGCCTCTGCGCGCCCCCGCCTGCTCCTGCGGCCCCTGCGAGGAGGCGGGCACCGAAGCTGCCCCGGACCGTTAGTGCGCCGCGGGGACAGGCAGCGCCCGGGAGCAGCGCCCGCCGCACCCGCATCCGTGGAGCTCCCCAGACGCCCAGCCCGCCCGCCTTGTCCTCTGGGCGCTTCGTGCTGCTCGAGCGGCGCGCAGCTGCGCTTCCCAGCCCACCCCGCCCCCCGGCAGTGCAAGTGTTGGGCTCTTGGGGGAGTCTCGCCCTCGCTCAGAATAAAGCACCTGCCTGCGTAAGAGCGGGCTGGAAACGTGCCCGGCGGGTGGGCCATCTCCCTCCCTGCCCCGGCTCCCCACCATTAAGCTTCCTTCCTCACCACGCATTTCCACCACCGGGAAGCTGAGCGGAAAGGAGCAGATGGGGAACACGCCCCTCCCCCAGCCGCACAGGGGACCCAGCATCCGGCAGAGGTCCCCTCTCTGTCACGGCCGCTCAGGCTGCCCTGCATCGTGGCTGCTACGCTGGCAGGCAAGAGGTGGGCTTGCTTTCTGCCGGCCGTGTGGCTTCTGCCCAAAGCCAGTGCCCCCAGAGGAGTGCCTATTTCAGATATGGCAGCTGCCATCATCCGAAAATGCAGCGGCCCAATGAGAGAAAAGAGCAGCTGCTTGCACACCTTTTAATTATACAGGGAGGAACACCTGGATTTTTCTCCATATTTCAACCATGTGGAAAACCAAATCAGAAAGCCCCCGTCACCCAGTTTTTCGCATGTGTACAGCCAAAAACTGTGATGGCCCCGCCCCTCCTGCGCCTTCTTGCAGGAGAGAGCACGGCCCAGAGAGCCAATTCGTCCCCCAAAAGTCCTGTCCCCAGCAGGCTGCTCACACCACCAGTCCTTAAAGCAAAAGGCAGCTCGTGACTTCAGGCAGCAGCTTTGGCCCTGGACGGCCCTGCAGAATTTCCCCATCTCCACCAGCAGCTTCAGAAGATCCTTTCTCTGTCTGAGAGCTTGAAAATGTGTTTGAAGGGCCGCTAAGCCGTGCCCCCCGAAGGGAGGAGTCACAACTCCGGCTCCTCTCTCGCAGCTCAACAGCAGCATTTCTTTCGACGACTGCTTGCGCTCTCTGGAAATGCTCAGAGTAGCGCTGCCATCCAGGACAGCACACCTGGCTAGAGTCCACATCCTCCCCATGCTCCGGGTGAACGAACCCCGTGATGCTCAGAGCCCGAAGAGAGACTGCAGTAATTCTGGGGAAAGAGGGAGACGCACGAGCGGTCTGCAAGGGCTGTGGCGGAGAGCAGGGAGAGTGCCTGGCCCTCGGAGGAGGCTTGGGGGGAGAGAAGGGCTGCTCGGCCTCCCGCATGCCAGAGGGTCCCCCAGCCTGCTCTGCCCGCCCTTCCTTGCCCTCGCCAGAAGCCCACCTGGCTTGTCCATGCTCTGGCAGGCCAGTCCCACCACGTCCCTGGGCAGTGCGAGCACCTCCTCCCGCAGCTTGTGCCGTCCCTCAGGAGTCAGCTTCCACAGGCGGGACTTGCGGTTCCCCTCCAGACACACGAAGTGGGTTGTCTTCTCGAAGCGGCTGCTGAAGCACAGGTTGTGCCGGATGGTGTTCTTCCAGCCCTCGGGGGCCGTGCGGAAGAAGGGGAAGTGCTGCCTGCGGGAAGGCAAACGAGCAGCGTGGCAGATGCAGGCCACCCGGCCCCATCCAGCCTGCCATGCTGATCTGGGCAGCTGCCATCCTGGGGCGGGAGCATGCTGCCTCCAGCTGCCCCCACAAGCTGTGCTGGGCCACACGGACGGCAGCCTGTGAAGGAGGGAACTGAGAACTGTTTTCCAGCATCTGCCAGCAGGGGAAGGACAGGTCATCTGTAGTCTCGGCCTCTGGCCAGAGCATGCAGCAACACAGGAGGTGGCTGGGCCACTGGCGTCCTTCTGCCTCTGGCCCCAGATCCCTGGCCTTCACCTGGCTGCCGCCCCTCCCCCCCCGGAGCCGATACCTGGTGAACTGGTAGATCTCCTGCACCGTCAGGCTGCTGTCTGTGCTGCTGCTCAGGGCGAGGCTGATGAGGGTGCAGTAATTCAGAGGGGGGCGCGGCCAGCCCCCCTGGGTCCTCTTCAGCTTCCTGCTACGGAAGCGAAAGGCCTTTGCTTTCCGGGGTGCCAGGGTGGGCCCCTGAGAGCCTTCTACCTGCTCCAACACTGCAGCATCCAGATGAGTGGCACCCCCTTCCCAAGGATCCTGCAAAGAGTGGTGTACAGATCAGGGCAGAGCCAGCTTCTGGGAAGGAAAGGAAGGAGGCGGGGAAGTGCTACCTCCCCCTCCCATTCAGGCCCCAGCAGGATGAGCCAAGATCAGCAGAAAGGGCTTCCACTCTGCCCCACACACGGCTGCCAACGGCCCCGCGTGACACGCCTCAGCATCAAAATCCCCCGTGCCACTCACTGGCCTCTTCCTCAGAAGCGCCGGTCTGGCCTGGACCAGCCCACCCCAGCAAACCGCTGATGGGCAGAGACTCCTGCCCTCCGTCCAGCCTTGCTCCAGCCCCCCGGCTGCTCCCACCAACCCTGCGTTCTTGGAGGCACTTCTGGTGTGTATCGAGTCGCTGCTGTCAAGTTTTCACTTTGTTTACAGAGTTCTCCTCTCACAGTGCAAGCGTTTCATGATGTTTGTAGCTATTTTTAACATTTTCTATTGTTTCTAGCCATGCGAGATGGCAGAAGGGCAAAAGTCGATGTTTTAACTAACAAGAAAAGCACCCGCCTGATATGGCACCACGGGATTGGCAGGTGGGCCACTCATCCTGCTCAGGGCCACAGGTGGCATGCATTATTGTTTCAGTTCTATGCCACTCACAGCCAATGCTCTCTGAGCGTTTGCAGCAGAGTCGAGGCAGGCCTGGGGGCCCTCCCCGAACTGGCCCGGCGGGGGAGCCCGCTGCTCCCCGAAGCGGCGCTAGGGGGCGCCTGCAGCCACGGGAGGTGAGGCGCTCCAGGTGCGGTACCTTGTCCGCTGCAGCGATGACGGGCAAGGCGCGCAGCTCCCGGTCGAGGCAAGCCAGGTAGGAGGGGGGCGGCTGGGGGCCGGCAAGAGGCAGCAGCCCCCCCACCGCTGAGACCGCCCCCGCAATGGGGCACGCCAGGTTGGGGTTCACCCACATCCACGGGAAGGGCTGCACCTGAGGCCCTGCTGGAGGGAAAGCGACACCGCTGCAGCCACGCGCTCCTGGCGCCGCGGAGCCCTCGCGCATCTCCGCGGAGAGCAAGCAGCGCCGGGCACGCCGGTGGCTTTTCTCCCGACGCGCACGCTTCCCGGGAATCTCCCGCGCGGCTCGGGCTCTGGCTTGCTTACCGCGGGCCTCCAGCAAGGAAGAGCCGCGCGCGTCTGCCTGGCCGCGGGGCGGTGACTCCGGGGGCGCGCGTCTCCCCGCGAGCGCGGCCGGAGGCGTCTCCTCGGGGCCTAGCAGGCGAGAGAGCGCCCGGCGGGTCAGTGGGGCTGCTCCCGCGCGCCCACGGGCTCCCCCGGGATGCTGGCCTTCCCGCGGGGGCTCCGCAGACCGGGCGCAGGGAAGTGCGAGCGGCCGCGCCCTCCTCGCCCTGCCCCGAGCAGCTTGCGCACACGCCCGAGGACAGAAAGCGGGCCCAGGGGGCACAGCCCGGCCTCGCCCCCGCATCCCCTGCTCTGCTGTTTGCAGGTAGTCACCCCTGCTGCTCCGAGGAGCTGAAGGAACTCTGCACATGCTCGGACGCAGCCCCCCTCCTCGGGCCTGCCTTTACTCTGGGGCTCGTGCGGCGGAGAAAGGGGAGGGAAGGGAAGGCAAGGCGCAGCTTCAGTCTCTAGTCAGGCGAGCCCCTGTTGCGCCTCCCCCTCCCCGCGCCTGACCTTGGGGCAACTGGTCGCAGGTTGTCCCGAGGCCCAGCTCGCGGGCCATGTCCCAGTCGCGGAGACCGCTGCGCAGGTGCAGGCTGGCCCAGAAGGCCGGCTTCTGCAGGCGCAAATCCATCGGCAGCCACGAGCACTCTGCGCGGGGCGGAGCCGCTCCTTGTGGGGGGGGGGCGGCATGCTTCGCACCTTTAAGGACCTGGCGCGAATAAAGGGGCCTCGCCTCGCCGCCGCGCGGAAGGCTCTCGAGAGGAGCACCGCCGTCAGCCGGGAAGCGCCGGAGCAGCGCCGGAGCGCCTGCCGGCCAGAAGCCCTCTCCGCCGATGCCCGCGGGCAGCGGGGAAGCGCCGGCAGCGAGCCCCCGGCCCCCGCCCGGCCCCGTCACAGCCCGCAGCGCCTCCGGCCGGGGAAGCAGGGAGGCGAGCGCATGCATCGCCGGGCGGCCTGGTCGGGGGCGCTGCCGCGCTCCGCTCGCAGGCTCTGGGAGGAGCCCGGCCTCCGCCGCCGCCGGGGGTTACCCCCGTGCGCCCTGCTGGCGCAGCTGGGCGGCGCTCCTCCGCCCTGCCCTGGACGGCCGGCCCAGCGGGTGCCCGCAGGGGGGGGCACTGCTCCCCTGGAGGGCAGCCCATAGTCACCTCGCCTGTTGTGGCCGTGGGAGCAAGCCTTGCCTCAGCCGTGCGCGGGGGGCGAGCACCTCGCAGGCCCTGTGCCACCTCTGCCCTGCTGTGTGTACCCTCTCGGGCCCTGGGGCAGAAGCCCCTGCCAAGCAGGGTGCCTGGGCCTCCACCTGCCCATGGCACAGCCAGGCCGCGGGGGCAGGCTGCACTCCTGACCCTTGCCTTCCCTTCCCGGGGCAGGCAAGTTTCGCCGCAGGAACCATCCCGGGCCGGCGGACTGGGCGAGCTTTCCTCCCGCGCAAGCTGCCTCGGCGCCCCCACCGCTGCCTTCGCCTCAGGACGCACCCCTGACGTGAACTCGGCCCTTCCCCACGGGGAGGGCCGATGCT